CAGATGCGTTTCTGCCAAAAGCTGCTGGGTTCCAAAATTTGTTTCTGAGTCTCTGGGATCACGGCCAATAAGCAGCTCAAACAGCAGCCAGAGGGCTCGTTCGTGGGTGGCAACTTGGGGTCTCGTAGGGGCCTCTTTTTTTTTCTTATTTTGTTTTTAGGTCTTTTTTTTAAACTTTTATTTTCATAAAGTTCACAATGATTTACTACATTCAATTTTTCAACACCAGTCCCACCACCATTATACCTTTCCACCACCATCATTTTGAATTTCCCACTATCACCCAAGACTGCCCCAAAGGATACTAAGTAATTAATTTTGTATTGCTTGTTATGAATATTTTGATCAAAGTTGGTTGCCTTCTACTTTACACCCCAGCATATGTGGTGTGCTACTTTTGGTGTATCAGTGGCATCCAGAATGAGATGTTGTGGCCATGTGCTCCAGGGATTCTAAAATTTTAATTAGGGTGCTAGAGCTAGAATTAAATTTTTAATTGGATTGTTATTTTGGGGTCTGGAGGCATCTCTGCAGTGTGTTGTGCTCTTCTGAGATTTATTTGTTTCTCTGATCATGCCTGTCAATGTGCTTATATGGTGCCCAGAGGCAGTTTCTGGACATGACTGCCAGGAACCTGGAAGCACAGGGAGGTGGAAAGAGGGGCCCATTCCCAACGCAGTGAGAGCCTGGAGATTTCAGTCACAAGTCCCACATACCTGGACTTTTCAGTGGATTTATTCTCATGAGTAGGGGGCTTGGGACAAGTCTGTGAAGGTTGGCCATGAGCATAGTGACGATTGGGTTCTGGAGGTTTGTGGCTGCCAGAGTTCTTTTGGGGCAGGTGGAGGGACACACTGAGGCTCCCTGAGTAAGTCAGCTTGGCGTGGAGTGAGGACACATCTCTGCAGCGTGCTGCTCTCTTCCAAGATTTATTTGTGAGTCTTTTTTTTTATTTGTTTATTTTTAAGGAGTAGGCTAAGAATTCCTAATACAAAATGGAGAAAAGGTTTTATTACTGTTACCCCATAAGCTTTAGGAGAAGAAAAATGTTGGAGACTAAAAGAACATCAGAAAAAATATTTTAAACTATTTTAATTGAAATATCGAGATTTATTATGCTGCTAATTATACTTGTCTTATATACATCAGTCTGACACCACAGCCATCACCAAAGAGCCTTCTTCCTTCCACCAGTGTCCTAGGACTGTTCCCACGCTCTCCCCCCATTGCCCCATGTAAACCCAGTCCTGTAGCCAGAATGTAAAAGTGTTACTAAAGCACTGTGATTACAGAGATATTCAGAGTTGGGCTTTGGACATACAGTGTTCCAGCACTGATTCCTACACCAGATCATCTTCCCTCAACCAGTGTTCCCAGGTTCCCTCCCTCCTCCACTAGAATTCATCTTGACATGCACCATTTTAGTTTGGTTATTTCCCATGATTTCAGTGTTGATGACTCAGCTTTGGATATTTGGCTCTGCCACTCCTCTGTCCCCTTAACCCCTACCCCTCTTAATAGTAAGATTATAAATGATCTTTGCTTCCCATTTGTCTCTTCTTCCTCAACCCCCTTGGTTTCTTTCTTTCTCTACACTATGAGTTCAAGGGTAATCTAGCATCCCCCCCTTTATTTATTTATTTTTGCTTTGAGACAACACCCAGTGGTGGGCTCAGGGGACCATATTCAGTTCCGGGGATTGAATCTGGGTCATCTGTGTGCAAGGTAAGTGCCCTACCTGCTGTAGTAACTCTCTGGCTCAATATTTTCCCCTTCACACCATTACATTCCCTCATCCAGTTATTCTAAATGCCACAAAAAGTGAAATCATCCAGTGTTTCGTGGACAAATCTTTAGAAGAGTAGAATTCTGGGAGGTGGGGAAACAGTCTTCACTTTAAAAGCTTTTCTAATTTTTATGCGGTTGTTGTATATGCTATCTTTCCAAGCACTGTAGCACTGTCCTCCTCATCTATTTGCTTGAGTGGGCCCAGTAATGTCTCCATTGTGAGACTTGTTGTTACTGTGTTTGGCATATTGAATATGTCACGGGGAACTTGCCAGGCTTTGCCGTGCAGGTCAGATACTCTCAGTAGCTTGCCGGGCTCTCTGAGAGGGGCAGAGAAATTGAACCTGTCTAGCTCCGGCTGGCTGCGTGCAAGGCAAACGCCCTACCACTGTGATTCAGTTGCCACATTGATTCCTACAAAATGTTAATATGATATGTTGAATAAGATTATAAATGATTTTGAGCTTACTTAGTGAGAAGTGATATAATTGAGCATTTTGCTAGGTAATGCATCATTTCTTTATCCATGAAATTGATCTATCTTTTGTGGGTTTTATGTTGTAGATAAGAATTAGAATGATTCTGTATAGCTATTAAAATTTATGTATTTTTAGAGTAAATGAAATGGAATGATATTAAGAAATAGGCTAAACACTTAGAAAATTTTCTGAGTCTTAATCAAAATTTCCTTTGAAGTAAAATGCCCTTTAGAAGCTAGAATCAATAATATTTTGATGAGTTTTAGTGAGTGGCTTCTACATTTCAATGTTCTTTCTGGGTAGGTCTTTGCTTTTTTTTATTATTACTTTTATTCAGTGATTAAATAATTTTATATTGACTTTGTAATTATTGGGCTGGAGCGATAGCATAGCGGGTAGGATGTTTGCTTTGCATGCAGCTGACCTGAGTTCGATTCCTCTGCCCCTCTCAAAGAGCCTGGCAAGCTACCGAGAGTATTTCGCTTACATGGCAGACCTGGCAAGATACCCGTGACGTATTCGATATTCCAAAAACAGTAACAACAAGTCTCACAATGGAGACATTACTGGTGCCCGCTCGAGCAAAATTGATGAATAATGGGAGGACAGTTCTACTTAAAAAATGTTCCTATTATGGGTAAATTTAGGTTCTAAGAATTTTGTATTGTTTTGGGGTCATACCTGACAGTACTCAGGGCTGAGTTGTGATTCTCACCTCAGAGGTGAATTCTGGTGAGGCTCAGGGGACTATGAGGGTTTTTTTGATTGAACTGAGGTTGGCTGCATGCAAGGCAAGTGCCCTACCCACTGTACTATCTTTTCAGCCCCAGGTTCCAAGAATTTAACTTTGATTCAGAGTCTATATATAATGTATGAACAGGACTTAGTTCAGTTAAACCAGGATGTGGGTCCTCCTTCAGAATGCTCTCAACTTGGTTGATGAAGGAGGAAAGTATGCGAAGTGGAAATTAAAATATTTATAATCTATTTTTAAAATTTTACACGAAGGGAGCGATAGCACAGCGGGTAGGGCGTTCACCTTACAAGCGGCCAACATGACCGACCCGAGTTCGATTCCTCCGCCCCTCTCGGAGAGCCCGGCAAGCTACCGAGAGTATTCGATATGCCAGACACAGTAACAACAAAGTCTCCAATGGAGACGTTACTGGGCCCGCTCGAGCAAATCGATGATCAACGGGAGGGCCTTTACTTACTTTACTTTACTTACTTACTTTTAAAATTTTAATGTGTAAAGGTCAGATAGTCTCCACAATCTTCACTGGGAATAGGAGATGATTTATTCAGAAAATGATGATGAAATTCTTCAACTTCAAATCTCTTTCACAAGCTGTTACTCATAAGAAGAGAAAATCAGACAAGTGAAGTACTTCTCCAACACTAGAAATGAGAAGACATTGGAGCAGCATATTAACTGTTGAATGAGAAAAAAACAGCAGTGCCACAATTCTATACCTAGTCAAGCAAACATAAGAGCAGGAAAAAGGAAACTTTGGGAAATGCAAGAAATATCAAGTGCTAAAAAATCTACCTGGCTCTCTACAGGATTACAATTGCAGCACAATTCTGAAGATAAAAGATGTATATGATGTGATGGGACCAGAGAGATAGCACAGCGGGTAGGGCATTTGCCTTGCATGTGGTTGACCCAGGTTCGATCCCCAGTAGTCCATATCATTTCCTAAATCCCTCTAGGAGTAATCCCTGAGCACAGAGCCAGAAGTAAGTCCTGAGCACTGCCAGGTGTGGCCCAAATACAAAAACAACAAAATGTATATGAACTGGGAAAGAAGTGTAAACTTACGGAAAGCATGTGTAATGTGAGTGGTTAAATCTAAATGTATGGAGCTAGTCAGCATCTTTGCCCCCTCATCTCAGTCACTTCACCCCTTCCAACCTGAAACCCTCTCTCCACACACCTCTTCTTTCCTGTCATTCCAGGGGATATTTAGGAAGGAGATGATGATGTAGAAAATCTGTTAAAAATATTATGCTTCTTAACACAAAAGACTGTGATAGGTCTGAAAGATTGTGTGCCAGAGCTATTCTTAGCAGTGGCAGCTGTAAACAAAGCTGGGAATGAAGAGTGGGGTGTTTGAGTTTACTCCAGGCTGTGCTCAAGCTTCCTTCTGCCAGTGCACCTGGGAACGTGCCTACTGGATTGGTTTCTGGATCAGGATCAGGGATCAGTATCAGGATCAGATGGTGTCAGGGCCTCCTGCATGCAAAGCCCAGAGGGCGTTTCCAAACCACAGCTGTGTAAACAACACAGACCGGTGCTTTTTTTAAAAAAAAATTCTATTGCACAGATGAAAGTAGAAGTATTTTGCGAAACAGTAAGGCAGCATAAAAGCCATTATTATTATTGTTATTATTATTATTTTAAATGGGACTTCTAGGCTGAAGTTCTAGTACAGTGGGTACAGCATTTCCCTGGCATGCAGCTTCCCGTGGTCTATCCCTGCCATCCTTTTGACCCCCTCCAGCCCCACCAGAGGCCATCCTTGAGTTCAAAGGCAGGAGTAAGCCCTGAGCATTGCTGGTTGTGGCCCCCGAAACAAACTGAAAACAAAAGGGTGGGTGGTGGGTGGAAATTCACTGGCTACTGTTGTTTTTTTAGAAGTACAACTTGCTGGAAATGGTATGGAACTTAAAATAACAAGTACTATGTTTATTTAGAAGTAAATTGACCTTGTCTTCTCTTTTTAAATGTAGGTTATATATTTGGGGAGGACTCCAGAAGAAGCCTATAGAATATTAATATTTGGAGATACACCCTATATTCCTTTCAGGTAAATATAAAAATGTTTGTGGTCAGTTCATTTAAATAGACTGTGGCCAGAAATATTTTGCTATAGTTTATGAAAAAGGAGACATGGTGTAAAGTTTGGGGGACATTCTGGTGAAGGTATTACTGAATCAAGTTCCTCAGTGCCCTAACCTTCCAGGTGTTGTTAGGGATTAGCCTGGGTGTGGAGGAAGTTTAGTAGTGTCCTTTATCTCTGCCCAATGGTTAAATTTCAGTAATTCTTCTGCCACAGTTGTCATAGCCTGAATATAATTTTTGGTTCTGACCTTAAATCTAAAATGACCTAACTGACCTTATCTCCTTCTTGAGTAATTGAAGGACCACGCAGATTTATGCCATGAAAAGAAATTTGTAAGAGCAGTTTTGCAGAGCTTAGTTTCATACTGCATCAAGAGCTGTACCTGTTGAAATGACTGAAGTTTTTGTGCTGAAAACTGAAGCTAGCTGCTTCTAGCATAGAGTAGGAAAGTAAAGAGTGATTTTAAAGACAGGACTCGGGGGCTGGAGAGAGAATAGGGGATAAAGTCATTTGCCTTGCATATAGCAGATCTGAGTTTGATCCTCATCACCCTGTATGGACCCCTAAACCCTGTCAGGAGTAAGCCCTGAGCACTGCTGGGTGTGAGCCCCAAAACTAATAGTAATAGTAATAAAATGAAAACAGGATTTAATTAGAAGTGGTTTAGGTTTGTGAAATTCGATTATTTTTAAAAGTTTAAAAAAGTCAGGTTATAAAAGTCAGGTTACTTCATTTGTTCAAAGCATTGTTTTTTTTCCCTGAGTGTGGGCTCCAACCTAATGACATTCTCTGGACTTTCTGTTACATAAGTATATGAAGCCCAGAAATTGAGATAAGTATATTAATCACAGAAATTGAGAGTAAGACTCTAGAGATGTTTGTATTTTCATATCTGAGAAATCGAGTAATAGAATGTTTTGTTTTGTTTCCTTCCATTTTCTATTTTTTTAAAATAAGATCTTTGTATTTTAATTCGTAATAGCGTGTTACTGTGTAATGAAACAATCTCCCTGTATGTAACATATGTTGTTTTTCACAGAAGCATTGACCTATGACAGACTAGAATCTGATGTTTCATTAGATGTTGCTATTCTGTTAGGCCCTCTCCTAATAATTGAGAGGATATTGCATTGTCACACTTTTTTCCTTTTCATATTGCCATTGCCCCTATATGTGTTTTTCTATCTTTTTTGGTTAGTAACCACTCAAACACCACTACTACAACCTCTAACCATCAATTAGTCGTTTTTATACTTCATGTAAATGTAGTCGTACAGTAATTTTGGATCTGGCTTTTTCAATACAATGTTTGTAAGATTTATCCGTGTAGTAACCTTTCATAGTTCTTCCTTTCATAATTGCATTTGAGCTTTCCATGCTTATGAATATACCACAATTTGTCTTTTCTCCTGACAAGTTCTTGAGTTATTTGTAGTCCTTGGTTATCATGAATATAAGCAGTTATGATACATGTTGTTCTTCCTGAGGGCCATATCCATTGGTGCCAAGGGATCAAATTCGGGCCCCACACAAGCCAGGCACAGGCCACCACTTGAGCCATAGCCCCAGCCCCAGATGCTGTTGTTTTCATAAATTAATATTTAGCATTGTTTTTGCAGTTTCTAAGCAGTCCTCCTTTATTGATTCTCATCTGTGTTACCAAGTTTTTAAAATTATCTTAGTGACAAGCTTCCTTCCCACCCTTCCACCCATGACTTGGTTCAAAGTTTATAGCTGCTATTCTGCTGTTTTGAAGAAGTTTGATTGCTTGGGTAGGGGGAAGATGTGGGTGTGTTTAAAGTAGGAGAGTAATTAAAAAAGTAAGATTCTTGTTGTGTACTCAAACTAATGTGGTATATGAAGCAGAAGTGTTGACAAAGGTAGGGCTTGATCTACAAAAAAATACAGCTTTGAATAAAAGCATCAAGTTTGTCATAAAGACTGAACTAGTCTGCCTTCAGCTTGCAGGACCAGAAGTATCAGCATTTTAGAAAGCTAATAGTAGCTAACTGAGAATACATAGTTAACTTTAACTGGGGTACAGTTTGAGAATTCATCTGTTCCACTGAAAAAAATTGACCTTGGCTTTGACCAGGCAGGTTCATTTCTTGTCTTAGAATTTTTGTTGAAAGAGTCCCGTGGTACCAGAGCAATAGTACAGTAAGTCGGGTGTTTTCCGTACACGTGGCTGATGCAACTTTGTTTTCTGGCATCCCATGTGGTCCCCCATGCACTGCCAGACCTCATTCCTGAGTGTAGAGCCCAGGATCAGCCCCTGAGCATTGTCACCAGGTGTGTGACCCCAAAATGCCCTGCCACCCCCAGAAAAAGGGGGAATTAGTTTTCTTAAAAATGAGTATTTTAGAACAGTAATTTTTTTTTTTTTTTTTTTTTTTTTTGGTGAAACACCATAAAATACAGTTGTAGACTCACGAGTTTTTGTGCTTGGGTTTCAGTTATACAATGATTGAGTACTCATCCCTCCACCAGTGCCCATTTCCACCACCAATGATCCCAGTGTTCCTCCCACCCCCCATCACATTCTGCCTCTATGGCAGGGCATTCCCTTTTGTTCTGTCTCCCCTTTTGGGTGCTGAGATTGGCAAAAGAGGCATTGAGTAGCAATCATGTTCCATCTATAGTCTACTTTCAGCATGCATCTCCCATCCTGGGAGGATCCTCCCAACACCCTTTACTTGGTGTTCCCTTCTCTATCTGAGCTACCTATTCCCCTAGCATGTGTGGCTGGCCTTCAAGCCATGGAGTGAACCTCCTGGTACTTATCTCAACTATTCTTGGATGTTAGTCTCCTATTTTATTACTTTATATTCCCCAGATGAATTCAGTCTTTCTATGTCTGTCTCTGTCTCTGACTCATTTCACTTAGCATGATACTTGCCATGTAGTACCACTTACATGTAAATTTCATGACTTCTTTTCTAATAGCTGCATAGTATTCCATTGTGTAGATGTGCCAGTTTCTTTAACCAGTCATCTGTTCTCGGGCACATGGGTTTTTTCCAGATTTTGGCTATTGTGAACAGTGCAGCAATAAACATAGAAGTGCAGATGTCATTTTGACTATACTTTTTTGCCTCTCCGGGATATATTCCCAGGAGTGGTATTGCTGGGTCAAATGGGAGCTCAATTTCTAATTTTTTGAGAGTCGTCCATACTGTTTTCAAAAAGGCCTAGACCAATCAGTATTCCCACTGGCAGTGAAGGAGAGTCCCTTTCTCTCCACATGCGCATCAACACTGGTTACTTTTGTTCTTTTGGATTTGGGCCAGTCTCTGTGGTGTGAGATGATATCTCATTGTTGTTTTGATCTGCATCTCCCTGATGATTAGTGATGTAGAGCATTTTCTCATGTGCCTTTTATCCATTCAGATTTCTTTTTTGAGGAAGTTTCTGTTAATTTCATCACCCCATTTTTTGATGGGGTTGGATGTTTTCTTCTTGTGGAGTTCAACCAGTACTCTGTATATCCTTGCTATCAACCCCTTATTGAATGGGTATTGGGTGAATACCTTTTGCCATTCTGTAGATTGTTTTTGTATTCTGGTCACTATATCTTTTGACGTGCAGAAGCTTCTTAATTTAAGATAGTCTCCTTTGTTTATCTCTGTCTCCACTTGGTTGGTCAGTGGAGTGTCGTCTTTGAAGATACCGTTAGCCTCAATATCATGGAGGGTTTTACTGACCTTGTCTTCAATGTACCTTATGGACTTTGGCCTGATGTTGAGATCTTTAATCCATTTTCATCTGACTTTTGTACATAGTTTTAGGTTGAGGTCTAAGCCCATATTTTTGCATGTGGTTGTCCAGTTATGCCAGCACCATTTGTTAAAGAGGCTTTCCTTGCTTCACTTTACATTTCTTTCTCCCTTATCAAAGATTAGATGTTCATACATTTGGGGTTGTGTGAACAGATATTCCACCCTGTTTCATTGGTCTGCAGACCTGCCTTTGTTTCAGTATCATGCTGTTTTAATTATTACCACTTTGTAGTAGAGTTTGAGGTTGGGGAGGGTAATAGCTCCTCACGTCTTTTTCTCAAGAATTGCTTTAGCTATTCATGGGCATTTGTTGTTCCATATGAATTTCAGGAGTGCTTGATCTATTTCTTTGAAGAATTTCATGGGTATTCCTTATAGGGATTGCATTGAATCTGTATGATGCTTTGGGAAGTATTGCCTTTTTGACAAAGTTAATTCTTCCTTTCCATGAGCAGGGGATATGTTTCCATTTCTTCGTGTCCTCTTTTATTTCATGGAGTAGTGTTATATAGTTTTTAATGTAGAGGTTTTTTACCTCTTTAGTTAGGCTGATTCTGAGGTATTTGATTTTCTGGGCAATGATTGTGAACGGGATTGTGTTTTTCATGTAACTTTCCTCTCATTATTTGCATATAAGAAGGCCACAGATTTTTGGGCATTAATTTTATAGGCTACGACTTTACTGTACAAGTCGATTGTTTGTAGGAGTTTCTTGGTAGAGGATTTAGGATTCTCGAGATATCGTATCATATCATCTGCGAATAGTGAGAGCTTGATTTTTTTCCTTTCCTATCTGGATGCCTTTAATGTTTTTTTCTTGCCTAATCGCTATTGCAGGTACTTCCAGTATTATATTGAACAGACGTAAATCAATCAACATGGATTATGTTGATTGATTTACAAATGTTAAACCATCCTTGCACCCCCGGGATGAATCCCACTTGGTCGTGGTGTATGATCTTTTTGATGAATTGTTGGATTCTATTTGCTAATATTTTGTTGAGGATCTTCGCATCCTTAGAGCAGTGATTCTTAAATCTGAACACACATCAATAATCTTAGAATCTGTCTTTAGGAGCTATTCAAATGAAAATTACCTGGCCCACCCTAGAGCACTCTGACCTGAGAATTGGGTGAAACCTGAGAATTGGGATTTTTTTTTTTCGGGGGTGGGCTACACCTCCTGATGCCTAGGGATATTCCTCAGGGGACCATATAGGATGTCAGGGATTGAATCTGGGTCAGCTACATGCAAGTTAAACACCTTACCCTCTGTACTACTGCTCCAGCCCCAGAATTAGGATTTTTAATAAGTTCTGGTGCTGCTCTAAAGTTGAAAGCAATTTTATTTTTTCCTTCCTGAAAGTTGGCACTAAGCTTCTGTAAGATCACTTTCTGATGGATGGGATAGAGGTCTTTCTTAGCTCTTAGAAGAGCACCTTTGAAATTTGGAAGTGACAGAACAAGAATGGCTCCAGTTCTCAGGAAGACTAATAATGTCTAATATGCCTCAGGAAAACGACCCAGTTCAGAAAGCAATGTCAAAAACTGTTAGCTGAAAAGGATGCTGATGTATTTCTGCATCGTTGCTTCGCTGCTGCTGTATTAGTTTACATTCTTAAGGCATATGCAGAAATAAATGCTAAATGTATAGTTTGATTTTTAAGGTAAGTAATATTACAGTATAAAAAGTCAAGCAAGGCGGGATTCTATGATAGTTGTCATAGAAACTTGGTTTCAACCAAGAGATCCATTTTCATCCATTTCTAACCATTTTTATAATTAAATTTTTAATTTTTGATTAATTAATTAACCTTAATTAACAATCTTAACTAATATTAAATGATTCATAGTAAGGAGTGATAGCACAGTGGTAGGATGTTTGCCTTGCGTGCAGCCAGCCCGACTGAGCCGGGTTCGATTCCTCCAGCCTTCTCAGAGAGCCCGGCAAGGTACTGAGATTATCTCGCCCACACGGCAAAGCCTGGCAAGTTCCCCATGATATATTCAATATGCCAAACACAGTAACAACAAGTCTCAAAATGGAGACATTACTGGGCCCACTCGAGCAAATCGATGAACAACAGGAGGACAGTAAGATTGCTAGTGGGTCTTGCTACAGTACTGCTTAGAGCTTCTGTAAGTAAATGCTTCCCCAAATGTGGAGTGATTCTGCTAAAGCACTTGTGGATTTATTGATAATATTGAATTATAAGATTTATTGATTAATTATATTGAATTATAAGATTTATTGGTAAATTATAAGATTTATTGATCATTGTATCACTGTCATCCTGTTGTTCATTGATTTACAGAGTGGGCTCCAGTAACTTCTTCATTTGTCCCAGTCCTGAGAGTTTAGCAGCCTCTCCTTACTGGTCTTTACCAACGCTTCCATATTGGAGGTTCTTTCAGGGTCAGGGGAATGAGACCTGTTATTGTTACTGTTTTTGGCATATCGAATAGGCCAGGGTAGCTTTCCAGGTGCTACTGTGCTGTCAGGATATATATGTATATATACATATATATTTATGTTTTCCTCTATGATTTGTTGCCTACTGTCTGAATCCCATCAAATATGGTGTGGTAATTATGGAAAATAGGTAGGGATTTATTGATAATATTGAATTATAAGAATCAAGGAGATTTTTGAGAAAAAGTACAGTGGATAGGACACTTGCCTTGCATGTGGCTGACCCAGTTTGATTCCCAGCATCCCATGTGGCCCCCTGAGCCCTGCCAGGAGTGGTCACTGAGAACAGAGCCAGGAGTAAGTCATAGCTAGTATGGTTCAAAGAACTGGGGTGGAATTTTGCATTTTGGAGCCTCGGGCTTGATTTCTGTTATTTCAAGGTTCTCAGGACTCAGCGAGGAATGACCTGGAACCTTACTAGAATGTGAGGCTCATCCCTCTCTGTGGGGATGTGGGGAAAAACAGAATCTGAAAGAACTTAGCCACTTATATTGTTAAGTTTTTATTGTTATTAAAATATGAAAGAAACACATACTATTTTATTTATTTATTGTTTTTTGGGGTCACACCTGGCGATGCACAGGGGTTACTCCTGACTTTGCACTCAGGAATTACTCCTGGCAGTGCTCGGGGGACCATATGGGATGCTGGGAATCGAACCCGGTCGGCTGTATGCAAGGCAAACACCCTACCCACTGTGCTTTCGCTCCAGCCCCACATATGCTATTTTAGCTGGTACCCAGTATTTCAGGTATGACTTTGATTTGCCACAGTGTTGTGTTTTTTTAATTTTAGTGTGTGTGTGTGTGTGTGTGTGTGTGTGCGCGCGCGCGCTTTAGTGGAGAAGCACACACATGCTCATGCAAAAATTGCACAAATAGAACTAAAAAGTAGGTTTTTTTTTTCTCCTAGCAATAATTTAATGCGGATAGCACAGCAGGTAGGGCGTTTGCCTTGCACACAGCCAACATGGCCGACCCGAGTTTGATTCCTCCGCCCCTCTCGGAGAGCCCAGCAAGCTACCAAGAGTATCTCGCCCACATGGCAGAGCCTGGCAATCTACTTGTGATGTATTCGATATGCCAAACACAGTAACAATAAGTCTCCAGCGGAGACATTACTGAGCCCGCTCGAGCAAATCGATGAACAACGGGAGGACAGTGACAGTGATAGTGATTTTCCAACCTGAAGGAAAAAAATTTAAGTTCCTTGTTCTTTTCTGAAAGGGGTGCCTTTTGTTGACCATTTGAACTTGAGGAAATTTTGAAGTTGAATTATCAGTGAAAAATGCTCTCTAGAGAGCCATTTAAAATTTTGAAGAGGGCAGGGTGGGATGGGGAGGATAGGGTGTGGGAAACCCAGGCAGAAAGATTTGTAAGTCTACAACTGTACCTCCATGATGTTTCACTAATAAAAATTTTAAAAAAATAAAATAAAGTTATGAAGAGGTTGTTTCATGATCAAATTCTCTGAAGTACTCTCTGCTTAGAGTAGGTAGAAACTGCAGTGAAATTTTGCTGATTTTGTTTGTTTGTTTTGGGCCCTAGTTGATGGTCACCTTTTCCCAGCTCAGCTCAGGGATAACTCCTGGCAGTGCTTCTGGGACATGCACCCCAGCCTTGTGAGCTGTCTCCCGGCAGGGACTTTTATAGTAGGGAGTTATCCTATATTTAAAAACCAAAAGGCAAGATTTTTTTTAGGTTGGTTCCGAATGCATTTTTGAGTCTAAATTCTAGGCGCATTTATTGGGATTGAGGTAAATGTGCTGCAGAAAATCAAATTAACTAGTTCTGTGTTTCACTATTTCACTGCTTCGGGGACTTCAGAGATGCTGCCTATGGGAGTTGCAATTTCTACATTACGCTTCTTGACTGTTTTCACGCAGTAAAGAAGGTAAGTGCTCACCGGTGGATGGAGTGTCCTGTGGGAGAACTGAGCATACCCAGGAAGATGGGACCCTTCTCCTTCCTCAAAACATGTGTGATGGCTGTGCTGTTTCCACTCCCTAATATTAGCATGTCACAAACCATAAACGTTTATTTTATATTGGTACTTTCTGTATGAGGGAATTTCGGGTCTCCCAAAGAGGAATCGAAAGAGCTATGCTTGGAGTATCACGCTTCACTCAAGTTAGAGAAAGAATCTGGAGTTCTGACCTCTGTTGACGATCGAAGATTAGGGATGCTGTCTTATTTGCCAAGGCGTCAAAAATCTGATGGGCTGAACACGTAATGCAATTTGGAGACAACTGCTGGACTAGAGCTATTACCGACTGGATTCCATGGGACGTCAAAAGATCGCGTGGCTGCCCACCTACGAGATGGTCAGACTTCTTTGTCAAGACCCTGAATGATCGGTTTGAGGCTCTTCGTGTTCCTGGAGCGAGCAGACTCCATTGAGCACAAGACAGGGACGAATGGAGACGTTACTGGTGCCCGCTCAAGCAAATCAATGAGTAACCGGATGTGAAGTGATCAAATGACTTTATGCATAAATTGGGGGAAAGGCACACAAACAACAGGGACAAAAAGAAACAGCTGTGCAAATTTAGAATTCATTCCTAGGTTCTGTTTGATTGATTAGGTTTATGGGCTCAGTTCCTATCAGTCTGATTTGCATCTGTATACAGTCATACACTTTGCTTTTGTTTCTTTTACGTTCAGTGTCAGTTCAACAGCAGAATCTGAATGTTCACGAAATACTCAGTAGTAGGTCACTACAGCTCGCTCACAGCTATTTTAAAATACTGTGTTTTGTCAACGGAACCGTGCTCTCTTGACTCCAGCTGACAGTCTTCCTGGTACATTCCAAACACATTGGGGTGCCTGGAGTTAAGTGGCCCAGCTGTGACACTTTGTGCTCCCTCAGGTCTTATCCCAGAATGCCAGAGCTACACAGAAGCTCAAATCATAGATAAGTAGCCCATGAATCAAATGGGATTTAAAAATCACGGGGGCTGGAGAGATAGCACAGCGGGTAGGGCATTTGCCTTGCACGCGGCCGACCCAGGTTCAATTCCCAGCATCCCATATGGTCCCCTGAGCACCGCCAGGAGTAACTCCTGAGTGCAGAGCCAGGAGTAACCCCTGTGCATTGCCAGGTGTGACCCAGAAAGCAAAAAAAAAAAAATCATCTCAAGATACCGCTCATGTTTTACAAAAGGGACCCTAGTTTAAGGCCCTGTATATTGGAATAGGGAGGCTCTTTGAGAATTTTTTTTTTTTGAAAGAAATCGATTAAAGTGAGAGCACAGTTCAGAGATGAATTGTCCTTTTCTTCAGTACTACCCGATGAGGTCTAGAACATAATGCTTTGAGGTTCCTGTTCAGTGGCACTGTGACCTGTGGAGCTGATGAGCCATTGCCAAGACTCCAAGGCAACTTTGTCAAGCCTCATTTAAGGCAGGTAATGGACAAAATGAAATTAAGAAGGATGGAAGGATAGAAGATGTGACACCCCCAGCTGCCGTTACAGTCCTGCCCATTGGGCCCCATGGCTCTGCTAATGTAGGTGGCACTAGAAATATTGACCATGTGTCCAGAGGAAATCTTCAGGAACTTTGGAAGTGCCCACTTCACATTCTGGAGTGGTTTCTGTTGTTTTTTCTTGGGTTCTTGGTCTTTTGTTTGTTTTATTGATTGGCTGTGCAAAGTCTTAAGTAGCTGAAACTCTAGTCCAAAGGTTGCTTTTGTGTGTTTTGTACAATATTTAGGTTTTGTTCCTCTCCCCCCCCCACAAGAGTCAGCTGGTTCAGGTTTTCAATTTAAATATTTCTAATTCGTGAAAAAAATTGAATATTATTATTGGAGGATCACCTCATGAAATAGAAAGTTGTTTGTTATGCTGGCCGCATAACAAATATTTTATGACATGGCGGATTTTCTTTGAAAGTGGCTTACAGAATCACTCACTTTGAAGCAATAATCTCATTGATCAGGAGTTCTTGGTTAGTGATCAGTAACCTGGGGGAACTTTGCTTAGAGACCACTATCTCATCCTGGTCTCAGAAAATGCTTCCTTTGCTTAACATGCTCTGCCAGTTGCAGCTCTCAGGGCATGGGATAAATCAGAAAATAGACTTCCCTGGTGATAAATTTTTTCCCCCCCAAAACTTTGAATTTTAATGATCACCTCTGAGCTGTCTTTGAGGAAATGTAGTCTTTATTATTAAGAATCTCAATTTTAAATCTCAGATTTAGAAGAATTAAGAAGTGTATATGCAGGGTCTGGAGAGATAGTAGAGCCTTGCACATGGTCAATCTGGGTTTGATCCCCAGAACCACATTCAGTCGCTTGAGCACTGCTAGGAGTGATCCCTGAGCACAGACCCAGGAGTGAACCCTCATCCCTGCCAGGAGTTATCCTTAAGCACAGAGCCAGGAATAGGCCCTGAGCAGCAGTGTATGTGGCCCAACCTCCCACACCAAACACACACACACACACACACACACACACACACACAATGTATATGGACATTTTTTAAAAGCAAACCTATGTTTATTTCCCTCTTTTTTTTTGTAATTGAATCACCACGAGAGACAGTTACAAAGCTTTTATGTTTGAGTTTCAGTCATATAATGATCAAACACCCATCCCTCCACCAGTGCACATTTTTCACCACCAATGTCCCCAGTATTCCTCCCCATAACCCCATCCCAACCCTTCCCCTGCCTCTATGGCAGACAATTTCCCCCATACTCTCTACTTTTGGGCTTTATGGTTTGCAACATAGATTCTGAGAGGCTATCACGATTGGTCCATCATCTACTTTCAGCACACATCTTCCATCCCGAATGATCCCTCCAATCATCATTGACTTAGTGATCCCTTCTCTGTTCCAGCTGCCTTCTCCCCCAACTCATGAGGAAGACTTCCAATCATGGAGCAATCTTCCTGGCCCTTGTCTCTTATCTCCTTGGGTGTCAGTCTCATATTATGTTATTTTATATTCCACAAATGTTCCCCCCTCTTTTTTATTATCATTTTGGGACCATTGGTTCTGCTTTATATTCAGAGTCTGAATATTACCTTGATCTAATAAATTAATGGGATTACACTGAAACCCTGATTACTTTTGATTACTTATCTCAGAGTGGGTCATTGATGAAGGAACATAAAAATTCCAGCCTTATTAAAATAAATACTGTTATAACTCTTTGCCATATGATGGGAGCATTAAAAGGCACAGCTGATTTCCTTTGAGATGTCTTCAGTGACATATAACCTGGGTATAATAATGCTTTTATGATGTGCTTCATTATATTTCCTATAGGGAGGTTGGACTGCAACCTTCTTGTTTGCATCTTTTTTTTTTTTAATTTTCTCTGAATTTTAGGCAGTGCTGTTTGGCTTCCTTAATTTCAACACCTTTAACCTTGCTGAGTATGAATACTATGAGGTAAGTTTTCAAGAATAATGTTTTTTAATTCATTCATATTCTTAAGAAGTAATACTACTTTTTTTTTTCTCTTTAATGGTTCTTTTGTCACACCAAGCAGTGCTCAGGAATTATTCCTGGCTCTGCACCCACGTGGGATGCCGGGATCAAACCTGAGTTGACTATGTGCGAAGCAAATGCCCTACCCACTGTACTATCACTCCAGTCCCCAAAGAAGTAATATTCTTGTATTTGGGAAAAAAAGATTTTTGTATTGGGGTCACACCCAGCAGTGCTTCAGAGGCTACTTCTGACTGCTCAGGGATCGCTCCTGGCAGGGCTAAGCGGACCTTTGTGGTGCCAGGGATTGAAGAAGAGTTAGACACTTACTAACAGTCTTCGTAGTGCCTGGATTATCTCTCCAATCCTGATAGACAGATTGCTTTATGGGCTGGAACATTTGCTCTGCGTGTAGGAGTACCAGGTTCCTGTTTTCAGCAGTTCATGGTCCCCTAAGCATTACCAAAAAACTATCCTGAAGCACATTCACTGAGCTGGGGTTGTCCCCCAAAATTGAATGATTCTGATACAGAGTTAAAAAAAAGGTTCTCTTGAACCTATTACCCCATTTTTGCTATCTCGGTTCTCAGCAGTGGTGTCTGCATTTGATACATCCTTCTGGGGTGCTTGAGTGCACCCTTTGCCTCTGCCCTTCATTTTACTTTACATTCTCTTAGCATTGATCTGTGGCTGAAGGAGACCATGCTGGGAAAAATACCTCAGCATAGCATCTGAGGAGATGAGTAGCATCTGCTTTTATCATTATCTTTTGTTTGTGATACTTGTGACTGCACAGATTTAGAAAAAAAACACAAATGGTTTCAGGAAAACAGATGAAAACATACTCTCAGTGGAAAGCCGAAGCTTCTGTGAGACTTTACGCCAGACCAGCTACAATAGTTAGACACTTCCCTTCCACGGTTGGTGCCTCAGTTTACATTACTGCATAGGCACTGAGCACCCGTCAGAGACTGGACAGGGATCACTCTCTGCCCAGAGCAAGAAAGGTGGCCAGCATGGCCTTCTGCCTCTTGTCAGCCTTCGTTTCCAGCACCAGCAGCAGGCCTACAGCCCTTTGCTTGGCAGCCCTCTGTGCTTACGTGGGAATGGCGCTGCTTTCCCAGCAGATGAAGGCTGGAGAATTCTCTGGCCAGCTCAGGAACTGGATTACTGTGGTCAGCCCTATCAAGCTAGACATGTCCCCAGACCATGCCTGGGCCCTCCTCCAGCCCCGCTTCCAGAGGAGCAAGAAGAGATATTTTTGCTGGCAAGCTCTCTGATTTTGTGTTTGAGCCACACTTGGCAATGCAGGGACCACTCCTGGCAGTACTCAGGGGACCATATGGGATGTCTGCGATCAAACCCAGGTTGACCTCGTGCACAGCAGATGTCCTACCTGCTGCACTATAGTTCCAACCCTCCTCCCTTTAAAAAAATTTTTTTTTTAATTAAATAACTTGATTCTACTGGTCCAGCTTCCAGAGAGTTCATGAGTAAGATGTTATGTTAATGATCTTTTTCAGGCAAGAGTATTTATGGAATTTCATCTTTTTATCCTACCGTACTCATGTAGATATTATTTTTATGCTTATTGAACAGATTTTTTAAAAAATAATAGAGTGATTCAAAAGATTCACCCTGACTAGTGCTGAGAATACAAAAGGAAAAGATAGCTGTTGTTCAAAAGTAATTTCTAAAGTAATTTTTATCTTATTAAATTTTTTCCTTTATTTTTCAGGTAACATGCTACAGTAGCTTAAGGATAGTAACATATATGACTAAACTGTTTTATTAGTGCATTGGATTAATAGTTGTGATCAGTCATTACTTTACCTATAATAATCACCATCTTAATTTTCTGTGCACATGCATATCCTCAAATGGTTAAGCTTATTGGCCTTTTTAAATTTTTTCCCTTTTTGGGTCACACCCAGCGATGCACAGGGGTTACTCCTGGCTCATGCACTCAGGAATTACTCCTGGCAGTGCTCAGGGGACCATATGGGATGCTGGGAATTGAACCTGGGTTGGCCACGTGGGAAGGCAAATGCCCTACCCACTGTGCTATCACTCCAGCCCCAGTTTTTTCCTTTCCACTGTCAAATTTCTTCTACTTTTTTGCCTAAGCCTGTGTATCTGTTCCTATTGTTAAATTTCATCTGAGTTTATCTTATAATATTGTTATGGGATTTAATAACCACAGGTAAAGGTGTTTTTCACATTTCAGTCTATGTTCTTTTTTTCTTCCCTACAGACATACTATGATCTTTAATACTTGTAATTTTTAATTTAGAGATGAGGCCTGTGGGAAGCCTTCATTTAATCCTCTTATTCAATAGCTAGTGAGGTGATGGAAAGTATCCTTCACACATAAAATGAAAATATTGAAATGGCAAAACCAAGGGAGTTTCCCCCCTTATTGAGGGAGAGTCAGGACTGTTCATACTCAAAACCAGTTTGTCATTCAGGGAAACAGGAAAGCGTTTCTCAACTTAGAAAATTTGCTCTCTCATCAGCTGCAAGTGATAAGATTTTAATAAAACAACCAAAACACTTAGGTGTATTTTGGTGAGAAGTAGTTAGCTCTATTTTATGAAAGCTGACTACACTATCAGAAGAATTTTGAGAGTGTTTGAGGACTGGAGAGATAGAACAGTGTGCATAGCACTTGGCCTTGCCCGTGTCTTTAAAACTGATTTTAAATCCTGGCATCTTATACGGTTCCCTGAGCACTGCCTGGTGTGATCCAGGAACCCCCCCCCAAAAAAAAAACCAGAAGAAAAGGAACCCGTAGACTTATCTCTTGGTAATGATCACTGCAGGCTAAATTTTAGTTTTCTGACTGTTTGTTTATATATAAACTAGCTGTTTGTTTATAAACAGTTTTATACTAAAGCCAGTGGATTTGCTTGAGACATTCACTTTTGATAAAGGGGTACAAGGAGATTTAGCCCTCACATAAATTGTGTTGGTTTTCTTTTTTGTAGAAAGCAGAAAATGGAGATTTAAACTGGATCATACCAGGGCGTTTTGTGGCCTTCTGTGGACCTCATTTGAGAACCAAACTCGAAAGTGGTATGTGAAGTACTTTTGGTATTAAAAGTATCCATCCTGTAGGAGCCTTCTGAAGGCAAATCATTCTCACTAAAAGAAGACTTGTAAGTTTGCCTACTAAGCACCCTCACTGGATCATTCATCTTATAAGAAAATGTGAACCAGAAATAATATGTTGAAAAATAGACAGGGTATATCCAATTAAAAATTATGCCTGGTTGTGAGTTGAATTAGCTTCAAGAAATTAAAAAAAAATAAAGTTCTTATTTCTTGTAACTGGTCCATCTATAGCTTTACTAAAACTTGTAATCAACAGATACCTTGTCAAGGTGATTTTCTACATTTCAAAAGGCATGGATCACTGGTAAAACATCAACCTTTTAGCCATGTAGGTAAATAATAAGCAATTCTTAGCCATCGTCAAACAATAATAGTTGCAGTTTAAGACCCACTGTCATAGTGATTTTGATACGGAATGAATTTTAGTTCTTCTGATTGTAGCATTCTTGAAATTAATATTTGCATAAAGATACATGTGAGTTTCCCCAGGAAAATTCTACTAACCTCCTATCCCCTAGGCATTTCCTGATTTCTGTTATAGGACTTCCATCTCTATGTCAGTTGAAACAACAAAAAAATTCTGCTAAGTTAGTTTTGCTTCTTAATTGTGAAACTTAAAATATTGGCAAACTTAGTGAATATTTTTGTTTTCACTTACAATTAATTATGACCTATTAAATCCAGTAGTTTTATGCTAAAAACTAGAAGCATATCCATCATGTGTTTTCATTTTAAAGAATTCAAAGCACTCTGTTTAAGATGTTGATCACTTAAATACACTTGATCATTTCATCACATCATTTTGCTTGGATTTTCATTTTGTTTTGCTGCATTTAAAATCAGATTGGCATTCAGTCCCCAGTCTAGACACTTCCTACCCAACTGCATGTTCAGTTGTCATTTGTTGTATGTGGTGGTGCCTTTGTGCATTTTACAGCATCTGGTGAATATCTTTCTGTAGGTTACTACCAACATTCTCCCGAGGCTTATATTCCATACTTTAAGAACCACAATGTTTCTACCATTATTCGCCTGAATAAGAGGGTGTATGATGCCAAACGCTTTACCTCTGCTGGGTTTGAGCACTACGAGCTCTTCTTTGCGGACGGCAGTGCCCCCACTGATGACATTGTGAAAGAATTTCTGGACATTTGTGAGAATGCCGAGGGCGCCGTTGCAGTCCACTGTAAAGGTGCGTTTCTAGGGTAAGGTAAAGAGCGGGAGACATGAATGCATTCATACTCAAACACATATCCTTGTTTGGAGCTAGGACGCAGGAAACTGCCTTTCTTTTTCATTTTTATCTATTCACTTTAGTAATTTTGGGGGTGTTTGGGTGCTTCTGAGCCAACCCTGGTGGAGCTCAGGGCTTACTCCTGCCTCTGTACTCAAGAATCACTCCTAGCAGGGTTAGGGGGGCATTATGGGGTCTGGCAACCGAACCCACGTCAGCCACATGCAAGGCAAACACCCTGTCCACTGTGTTATCGCTGGACCCTGCCTTTCATTTTTAAAGATTTTATTCCTTTTAAGTTATCTTTTTGTTGAAACAACTTTATTGAGATTCACAAAATAGTTGTACATTAAAGAATGTATTTTTAATCTACCTGATACTGGGGCCAGAGAGATAAAACAGCAGTAGGACACTTGCCTTTACTTGTAGATGACCCAAATTTGGTCCCCAGTACCTTATACGGTTCCCTGAGCTCTGCCTGCAGTGATCCTTGAGTGCTGAGGCAGGAATAAACCATAAACATCATCAGGTATGATTCAAAAATATAAATACAGGGGCTGAAGAGATAGTACTATGGTAGGGTGCTTGCGTTGCATGCAGATGACCAGGATTTGATCCCTGGATCTCCATATTGTCCCCTTAGCACTGCCATGATTAACCCCCGAGCATCACTGGGTGTGGCCCAGAATAAAAAAATGCATAAATAAAATTCTGATTCATGCAAAAAGTGAAATAAATTGTATTTATGGTAACTCTAAAGGATATCACAGTGAAATAAGTTCATTTATTCACCAACTATCTGTTTCATGTCTATCCTTTGGTAAGATTCTAGGAACAACATTTTCTCCAGACTTATTCTTATATAGCTCATATTCTTAATAGATTGCTTAATTTTAGGTGCTGGGACAGTGACTGTTTAATTTATTGAGTGAATGAATGTGTAATAATACATGGAATAAATGTACAAGGATTTTTTAGCACTTCTCTTATTGGATAGAAGACAAAAAAATATACTTTTGTTAAGAAAAATCAAACATTGAGGGAGAAGAAACCAAACCTAGAGAATAGTCAAAAATCTAATCACTAGAATAACATGAGGAGGAGGAGGAGGGCGGGGGGATGGGAGGGGGGAAGGGGAGGGGGAGGAGGGAGGGTCATGTTAAAGGTGCTTCTAGAGAAAAAAATCTAGAGTCTACAAAATAGTGTGAAGATGGAAATACCTATAAATAGGTAAGAAATATAAAAAGGAACCAAAAGAAATTCTGGAACTAAAACACGTAATAACCAAAACTAAAAATTCACTAGTTGTGTTTAAGAATGGGCTGGAGCAATAGCACAGCGGTAGGGCATTTGCTTTGCACACGGCCGACCCAACTGACCTGGGTTTGATTCCTCTGCCCCTCTCAGAGAGTGTGGCAAGCTACCGAGAGTATCTCGCCCTCATGGCAAAGCCTGGCAAACTACCCGTGATGTATTCGATATGCCAAACACAGTAACAACAAGTCTTACAATGTAGACGTTACTGGGCCCGCTTGAGCAAATCAGTGAATAGTGGGAGGACAGGGACAGTGACAGTGTATAAGAATAGACATGAGGGGGATGGCTGGAGAGATAGTACAGTGATTAGGGCACTTCTTTGCATGTAGCTAACCTGGATTTGATCCTGGTATCCCATATGGTCCTGAGTATAGAGCCAGGAGTAAGCCCTGAGCAACGCTGAGTGTGGCCCAAAAACCGTCAGTAAAATTTGAAAACACACACACACAAAATAGACATGAGGGACCGTACAGTGGGTAGAATATTTGCCTTGGATGTAGCTGACCAGGGTTCAACCTTTAGAACCACTTAAGTTCCCTTGGATCCTGCTCAGGAGTGATTCCTGAGCCTGAAGCCAGGAGTAAGCTCTGAACACTGCCGGTGTACTCCACCCCCAATAAAAAATAACCATGTGTAAGTAAGGCAGAAGTATTTGGCAACTTTGAAGATAGGATAGTTGAAATAAATGATTACATGAAGAGAACAGGAAGAGACTAAAAAGTGAATCTTGTCTAAGGGACTAATGGGACACAGTGTAGACTATTGTGGACCGTGGGAGTTCCAGAGAGAAAGGAGCAGAGATTATTTGAAGTCATGACTGAAAATTTACCAAATTCGATGACAGATTGGAATTTCAGCATCAAGGAAGCTAGGTCAGTGAACTCTAAATATGATAAACTCAAAAGACTTACACCAAGATGAACATAATCAGTACAGAAGCAGAGACAGAGAATGTTGCGATCAACATTGAATATGTACAAGAACATATACAAGAAACCCCAGTAAGCTTATTCACAGATTTCTTATTAGAACCTTATGTGACTAGCTGGCTATGGGCTTGACATATTCAAAGTGCTGAAGGAAAGAAAGAACTAGCCAGCCAGAAATTCTGTTTCTGGAAAAATTGTCCCTGGAAAGTGAGGGAGGAATAAACACATTCCCAGATCATTGTCACAGAGAATTTATTACTGCCACTTCCTAGCCTGCAAGAAATAACAAATGATGGGTACTTTGGCATTTGAAATTAAAGGGTCACTGGTTTAGGTAAGTACTTGAACAGTTGAGAGAACTAGTCTTAGTATAATTTCAGTTCTAAATTCTCCAAAACATTAGAAACATGGCTTAAAAGTAAAAATCCAATAGTATATTATTGAAGAGAGATTAAGCTTAAATAGACATAAATGAGTAAAGAGATAGGAAAATTTTATATAAGTAATAGCCAAAAGACTGCTGATATAGTACTTATGAAGACATACCAGAGCCCGGAATGATAGTATAGCAGGTAGAGTACTTGCTTTGGAGGCAGCCAGCCCTGGTGCCATCTCTGGCCCCACTCATGGTCCCCTAGCCCTCCAGGAGCAATTCCTGAGTGCAGAGCTAGGAAAAAGCTAGGAGTAAGTCCTGAGTGTCACTAGGCCTGAACCCCAAACAAAATAATAAATAAAGGCAAACTGAACTTGTTTTTTTGTTGTTGTTGTTGTTTGGGTTTTTGTTGTTGTTATTGTTATTGTTGTTTTGCTTTTTGGGTCACACACGGGCATTGCACAGAGATTATTCCTGGCTCTGCACTCAGTAATTACTGCTGGCGGTGGTTAGGGCACCATATGGGATGCTGGGAATCAAACCCCGGTTGACCACATTCAAAGCAAACACCCTACCTGCTGTGCTATTGCTCCAGCCCATGACAACCCGAACTTGAGATAATAAATTAAGAGACAAAAGAGGACATTTCATGCCAGCAAAATTCCAATACAGCAAGGTGATGTAATATGTATCAAGATGATGTAGTATTTATAACCGTTTTCAATGACGAATACAAACCTTTAAAGTATATAAGGGAAAAATTGACAGAATTGAAGGAAAAAATAATAGAAGTTAATATACAGTAATAGAACAATTGTGTATAATTAAGTTAGGTATTTTTTTTTTAATCCTGTTTTTCAGAAATGAACAAGCAGAGAAGAAGATAGTGATCTTGGCTAATACAGTCAACTAGTATATTGTAGCTGATAGAACAGAATACACATTTGTTTCAGGAACAGAATACACATTTGTTTCAGGAATGCACCTAACAGCATGAGTTTATCAATGCCACTGAACTGTACACTTAAAAATGATGATGGGGGCTGGAGCGATAGTACAGCGGGTAGGGCGTTTGCCTTGCACTTGGCCGACCCGGGTTTGACTTCCATCATCCCATTTGGTCCCCCAAGCACAACCAGGAGTAATTCCTGAATGCATGAGCCAGAAGTAACCCCTGTGCATTGCTGGGTGTAACCCCCCCCCAAAAAATGATGAGGATGATGATTTCTAGACGTCAGCCTTCAGTAGTCTTTGAATTAGCTGATCAGACATTTCAAGTGTCTGTCTTTTTTTTTTTTTCTTTTTGGGTCACACCCGGCGATGCTCAGGGGTTACTCCTGACTCATGCACTCAGGAATTGCTCCTGGCGGTGCTCGGGGAACCATATGGGATGCTGGGAATCGAAACTGTGTCGGCCATGTTGGCTACATGCAAGGCAAATGCCCTACCCACTGTGCTATCGCTCCAGTCCCTCGAGTTTCTGTTGAGCTACAGCTCCTGTAGGGGTTAAGACGCAGACCTTGCATGCAATCCACCCTGGCTCCATCCTTGTACCACCTTGCCCTCTCAGCACTGTGGGTGCAGCCTTGGACGCTCTCTGAACACCGTCTGGGATAACTCTGGAGGCCCCCAGAGAGCTAGGGTGCCTGGTGCTCCCCAGCAGTGCAGCACCCTGAGTAGCACTTTATTCTGGGCCGTCACAGTGAACTGCATCTGGGCCAACTATTCCCAGAGGCCTGGGCACCTCTGAAGAGAGACACTCCTGATGGTGACATCAGTGAGGACCCAGGGCTAGTGCAGTGGGCACTTGCATGTAGGAGCCTTAGGCTCAAACCCTCACCTTGACCAGAAGGTTTCCTGAGCATCATGAGGTGCAATCCAAAACAAAAACAACAAGGAAAATGTCAATAAGCAGATGAATTTAGGGGACTAATATATGAACAAATTTTATAAACATGCTCAATTTGTGCATATTTATGTTACAACAAAATCCATCATTAGTATTTTATGTTTTTAAAGTTCATAATAAGTGAGCCGTAGTTAAGGTGCTTCATCAGAGTGATTTTGCTGCCCTAGATACTCAGCAATACCTGTAGACATCTACTGGATACCACAAATTCAGGGGCACTGTTGTTGGTGTCTAGTTGGTAGAGGTCAGGGATGTCTCTAAACATTTTTAAATGTACACAGTAGTCCTCACAACAAAGAATTATTCAGCCCTTTGGTTGACCGATGATCATTTAAAGCCCAGAAGAGTGGGCAGGGGTTTGGGCACTTGGTTTGTATGTGGAGTTCCGTGGAACATCAGTGGAGGTAGTCTCCTTGAGCACAGAGCTGGGCATAGCACTAAATCAAAACAAAACCCATACCAAACCAAAACAAATATACAAAAAAGACCAACAAACTTCAGATAGACATGATTAGATCTTTGTTTTGGGAAGAAAGCTGATATGTGAGGGGTTGGATTTTTAAGTGAAAAGTGACAATCATTAGGAGATATAATAATTTGCTCAAGGTATCAAAACAGAATTTGTTGTGATTTAAACTATGGAAGTCTCTTTCACATGGTTTGGAAGACTTAAAAATCTAGAAGTTTAAAATCTGATGGAGCAGGGTCGCTTTTCCTGGCTTGCAGGTGGCTTCTTTCTCTTGTCCTTTATAATACTTCCTCCTGGCCCTGCTGTATTAGGAGCATGATTACCTATATAAACTGCTCCCCTTGGACCTTAACAGTTAAGACTTCAATCTATAGGGGCTGGAGAGAGAGTGCAGCAAGTAAGGATTATGTCATGTATGTGGCTGACCCGGGTTCTAGCCCCAGCACCACATTTGGTCCCCTGAACCCTACCAGGACCGATCCCTGAGAACAACCAGATGTGGCTCAAAAAAAAAAAAAACAAAAACCGAAAACCCTAAAGTAAACAAAAACCTTTAGTTTATCAATTGGGAGTGGAGTATTGGTGGCCATAACTTTATTCTATTCTCTATCTGCCTGATACTTATGGTTCTTGTATATACAATACACTGAGTCCACTCTAGCCACCCTCAAACACATTTCAGTTCCACCCAAATACTGTTTGAATCCGATATGGCTGATAGTTCAGGAACACACATGCAAAAGCAAGAATTCTTTTCTTGATATGAACCTGTGAAGCTAGACGAGTTTGGGGTTTCTGGAATTAAGGAGTGGATTTGGGAGAGTGTAGTCACTCTCTTGTCTAAGTCAGTTAATCAGAAAAGAGCAAGAGGAGGCAAGTCCATACAAGTCAGTCTTTCATTCGATCTGGAGGCTCACAGTAATGCTCTAATACCACTCTCCCTTCTATCTGCCCATCATTTTGGCAGCCCAGCCACTGTAGTCAGGGAGTTACATCTGCCCTGCGAGACTGACTCTTGCCCCTCTGGTGTTTCCTGCAGGACAGGCAGCGTGGCTATTTCCCCATCACCTTTCAAGATGAGGCATATTTGCAGCCAATAGTTCCCATCATAGAACTCAGAGATCTAACTCCTTCAGGAATCTCTTCCACTGTCATCTTCAGACCCAACCACTCTGGTCTGCTGGTATAATCCCAACACTATCTCTGGCTTTTGCTGATTAGATTCATGCATGATCTCTTCACCACCATCCATGGAATTGATTGTCTCACCACACCCTAGTGTTCTCTCTAGAGAACTCTCACTTTGCAATGTGGGTGGGCCTGGTATTGTTTCTAGCTCCTCTTTGCCTGATGATTGCTTCTTTATCTCTCTTGCAGTCCCTCTAATCGGAAAAGAGAAACCAGGCTTGCATGTTCAACACTTTATTTACAAATACCCTTTGCTAAATATCCAAGGCCGTCAGTCACTCTAGATATTTTGTTCTTTGTGAAAGTTCTACTTTCCACAAAGGACTGGAACAGATTTCAGCTTATTTTTTCCTTTTGCCACTTCCTAACAAAGGTGACTTAACTTTTAATTTCAAATAAGATTCCTCATTCCTGTCTAAGCTTCTACCAGAATCCCCCTTAACCTCTACCTACATTCCCACCAACAGGCAACAGGTCCTGGCTAAGGGGCTGAAGCAATAGTACAGTAGATAAGCCACATGGTCAACCCGAGTTCAATCCCTGGTATCCCAGTATGGTTCCTCAAGTCCCCTCAGGAGTGATCCTGGAGTGCAGTCAGGAGTAAACCCTGAGCACCACTGGGTGTGGCCAAAACAAATCAAAAAGCACTGTCTTTTAAGTTCTTACTGACATATGCTTTAGAACTCATATCCTTTAATAGTTCTAGTTCCAAAGCTGTGTACACATTTTTACATACAGTTACAGTTACATGCCAATTTATGGGGCCAAAATCTTTGTAAATTGCGGTTTTCCAGAGAAGTAGAATCAATAGGATATGCTTATAGGTTTATTTGAAAGTGTTGACTCAGGTGAGCATACAACCTGCAGTGTGGCCTGGAGGGTGGGTCTGGTTTGAAGGCTGTTTGCTGTTTCAGCCAAGAGGAGGTGAGGACCAGTGTGTGTAAAGACTCTCCATAGGGCTACAGTGGCCTTTAGAACTTGAGACTCGTGTTCAGGGAAGTGGAATTATGGGAAGCCTTAAAAAGAAATTCCACCTGGTGGCTGGAGTGATCATACAGCTGGAAGGGCATTTACCAATTGCATTAGGCTGGTCAGGGTTCGATCCTTGGCATCCCATATGGTGCACTGAACACCGTCGGGAGTAATTCCTGAGTGCAGAGCCAGGAGTAACCCTAAGCATTGGCAGGTGTGACCCAAAACAACAACAATTCTCTCTGCCCAGGATCTTTGAGGACCTAGTGCCGCTTGTCTGATGGGTTTGGTGTGTTTCTTCCTTCCCTAGCTGGCCTTGGGCGCACAGGCACAATGATTGCCTGCTACCTGATGAAGCATTATCGGATGACAGCAGCCGAGAGCATCGCCTGGGTGAGGATCTGCAGGCCTGGCTCCGTCATTGGGCCTCAGCAGCAGTTTCTGCTGATGTACGTGCACAGAGAACGTTGTAATCACTCAGGAAACACACGGGGCTCAAAAAGAATGGGAAATGGATTCTTTTCTTTTCTTTTCTTTTCTTTTTTGCTCTTTGCGTCACACTTGGCGTTGCACAGGGATCACTCCTGGCTCTGCACTCAGGAATTACTCCTGGTGGTTCTCAAGGGACCATATGGGATGCTGGGAATCGAACCTGGGTCAGCCGAGTGCAAGGCAAACGCCCTACGTGCTGTGCTATCACTCCAACTCCTGGACTCTTTTCTTACTGTCCAGTGACAATAGATCCTCCAAGAGCCGAAAGCTGTTTGCGTGGATCTTTCTGGAAAACTCTATGTTCATGTTGTTATTTGAATGCTCTAGGAAACAGTCAAGCCTCTGGTTGGAAGGGGATTATTTCCGTCAGAAGTTAAGTGGTCAGGAGGATGGCAAGCACAGCGCCGCCTTCTCGAAGCTCCTCCTGGCTGTCGATGACATTTCCATCACCGGGGTGGAGAACCAAAACAAGCCAGAACCTGAACTGGTAATCACACTATCTCTGTCATGCAGTTTTCATTGTTTAAAATGCCTTTGAGAACTTTTTAGAGCATTGAAAAAGTTTATAGGTAAAAATAATAAAGTACAGTTGGAGGGATTATTGTCACTTAAAAAATAATTTTTTTTAACCCTCTTAGTACTTTGTTAAAACCAGTACATTGGTTTCTGTCCATAATACTAAAGTTGTTTCTTGACTCAGTTTGGTGCTGGTTGATAATAGAGGTAGATATAGGAGGTTCTTTCTAAGGATCTACTTACTTTTTCTCCGCCCCCCCCCCCCCCCCCCAGCTTTTTCCCATTTTGTGCCCAGCTTTTTCCCATTTTGTGACAACCCACTTAGGGAATCAGTTCTTCTCCAATGGAGAAATGAAAAGGGAAGAAATGAAAAGGTAGCAGTGTTCTTTGTATTATGTAGTGGGAGAGATTCTGAAATTTAAACAAAAGAGTGTAGAGTGTTTGTAATACTGAAAACCCATTGTACCTATTTACTGTAAATGCTGTATAAGAGAGTGCTTTGGGTTCTCTGAATGTCAGCTTGTAGTTGTCTTGAAAAATGACCCTTAGCCTTATTTGAAAATAGCAGAATGTTTAGCTGGAAGTTGAAGCATTTATGTTGCTGAATGTATATCTGTAGACAAATACCCGTTTTTGTGCAGTACTAAAATAATAAGCGTGACTTCAATCATTCACTGTCTCTTTCCTTACCCAGTACAGTGATGAGGATGAAATCAATGGAGTCACACAAGGTGATAGACTTCGGGCCCTGAAGAGCAGAAGACAGTCCAAAGCAAATGCTATTCCCCTCACGTGAGTACTTTCCTCCGAGTGGTTGGTGCTCTCTGATTTGTGTAGGAGTCCCTTAGTGAGCATCTTTCCCCTACATTTTTACTAGTTTGCATGCCTATTATGCCACCTTTAAATGCTTTGCTACATTATTTAAAATGTAGAGCAGTGGGTAGGGTGCTACCCTGCATATTGTCTCAGTCTTTGATCTCCAGCACCCTGTCTGGTCCCTGAGCCTGCAGGGAGTGATCCCTCAGCACAGAGCCACAGGAAGCCTTAAGTACTGCCAGGTGTGACCTTAAAACCAAAAAATAAATAAAATCTAAGACTTTTGCCTAAGAAGCTTCTTCTTCGCTTGCAACTTCACTGGTCTGTATAGATCAGAAAACAATCTTAGAGCTGCTTTGTCCCCGTGGATAATCACCATTGTGACATCTCAAGAGAGTAAGATGTGAACAACAGAGGACTATCCAACTGTAGTTATTAAAATCATGAATCTTTTCAGATTCAGCCCTGTATTACAGAAAGTCTGTATGGTGGTAACCTTATAGCAGTGCATTGTATTTTGAGGCAATGATGAAATAAATTAGGCCATATTTTTGTACTAGTATGTTTTAAAAATACATAAAAGTTTTAAGTAAAATTTTTTATTATATTACATGTATAATATATATAAACATACAATCTAATATGTGCCATTTTGTAGTTAGTATGTGTATTTCTGTTTCTATTTGTACTTATTTTTGTGTCAGTTTGGATTAAAAGACTTTTAATATCAGGGTTACTAGAAAAATAAATAGCTAATGTGATCAGTGAATATAGGAGATGAAATCTGACAACAAATTGAAATAATTGGAGAATTACTCAATTACCTAGGCAATAGGTATAATTATAAAAATAAAATTGTTTCAAACATTAAAAAAGAAGAAAAATATATAGAATAGAAAAACTTGGCCATTGTAAATCTCCCCCTTATAGTTTAATAAATGATTCTACTCGTAACACTGGATTCCTTTTTTATAATTACATCCATTTTCATTGTAAGGCAACGAATTTTCATTCTTTCATGTTACTGAAACTAGATTGTTCCATCCAATAAGGTTACTCTCAAATGCCCCTAATAAGGATATCCATTAAGGAACCAATGAAGTGAATAACTGCCAGTCAGAGCACAGTCATAGAACAAGAGATTTTCTTGGTAACTTTTCATTACTGCAGTTCTCAAGAAGAACTACACCCCGGGCATATATTGTCACGGGTTACATCCTGGAAGGGCTGGAGCAATAGCACAGCGGGTAGGGTGTTTGCCTTGCACGCAGCCAACCTGGGTTTGATTCTTCTGCCCCTCTTGGAGAACCGGCAAGCTACCGAGAATATCCCACCCACACAGCAAAGCCTGGCAAGCTACCCGTGATGTATTCGATATGCCAAAAGCAGTAACAACAAGTCTCACAGTTTATTGTGAGATGTTACTGGTGCCCACTCGAGCAAATCGATGAACAACGGGAGGACAGTGCTACAGTGCTACATTCTGGAAAGTTCCTAAAGACCCAAAGAAACAAGCAACACTTTCCAATAATTAGTGCCATGTGAATGATGTGAATATTGATTATTTGTATTTATTGACTTTTTAAAAGCACTGTTTTTTGTTTGCTTCACCTGAGATGTTACAGCACTTTTTAATTAGAAGCATATTATAGTCCCTTCAGTCATCTTCCTATTTTGCATTCCACCATTCAGATGGTGGAGACAGGTGGGCCCTTCTCTAACACAGGGCCTTAAAGCCTGTGTGGAGCCTGGCCCCAGGGCAGCAGGTTTGACGGGTACCTAGAGTTCTGCATACTCATGGGTTTCCGGAACTACCAGCACGGCTGTTGGGTACCGCCGCCATCTGAATTGGAAAGGCGTAGAAGATGAATTTAGTTAATGCCCTGATTTTGATTTTTTTTTTTTAACTTCTGTTTAGTCGTCACAGAGTTGGTGAATTCTGCATAGTCAAAAGTTATTGTTACCAGAAGTTTTCTTCATTTTTTTAAAACTTCCTTTGAATATTTATCTAGAAAATTTCAAATACTGGTGGTCTTTTCCAAAAAAGGTTGAGGCAGCAAAAAAGTTCTTTCAGAGTTAATAGATTTGTGGTAATATAAAATGTCCTCAGTGATGGAGCACACACTCATCTTGGAGGCCTGGGTTGGGTCTCCCCCAAGTGGTGATCATATCACCCACCACCCTAAGTGTAAATTTGTTGGAAGCCAGAAGATGACACTACGTACTATTGTATGGAACAGTCTAGTTTCAGTACTATAATGTATTCACCTTGATAAGTGATGGCTTCATAGAATGAAGGTTGGAGAATGATGGCTGAATCTATCTAAACAACAAAGACAGGGAGGGAAGAAGTGCCTCTCTGCCGTCATCTGTCTGGTTGTCCAGTTCTGCACACTTCTGCTTACCTGCTGAGGAATAAAGGATAAAGGATACTGGCTCTTTGCACTGAAGCACTCAGCTAAATCAAGGGAAATGGTTAAAGTGTTTTGTTTGTTTTTAAAATGAGGGTAGTTCAGATTCCCTATAATTGTAAAAATAGTGGAATAGTTCCCAAACTGCCCTCCTCCCAAATCACTTTATTTTTTCTTTTTGGGCCACATCTGGTGATGCACAGGGGTTACTCCTGGCTCTGCACTCAGGAATTACACCTAGCAGTGCTCGGGGGACCATATGGGATGCTGGGAATCGATCCTGGGTTGGCCACATGCAAGGCAAACCCCCTACCCGCCGTGCTATCACTCCACTCCCCCCAACCCCCAATCATTTTTAAAAACTTTTTAAAAAGTTTTCATTATTATAGTTAAGGTAACCTGTTTGTGATAGCAGTAATACCACCACCAAAGTAGGCCACGCTTTTAAAGGGAAGTACAGAATGCTAAATTTTTCAGTTTGTAATATGAAGACCAAACCTGTTGGGGAAGGGGGCCACAGAAGTGAGGGGCAGGTGCATTTAAATAAGTCACCGGATTGTTCTTCGTTTTCCTTTAAGTAAGCAGGGTTTTTCTTTTTTTTTTTGCTTTGTTTGGGCTCTTCAATCCATCTTGATAGGTGTAATGATCCCTGTTTTCACTTTGTTTGTGGTTACAAAGAGGAGAGATGGGGATGTTCTTCCCCTCCATAGTCCTTGTTTCTAGAAGAGTCCCAAAGAGTTTGGCAATGGATGGGTGGGGAACCCTGAACCCCCTCCCCTTCCACCAGCCCCCTGCCCCCCACCAACCCCCAACCTCCACCTACAGTTCAGGGCCCATCCCTGTGGATTCATTTATTGTGGGCAAGTTATTGTGTCCACATTTGGGGTCCAGACTTGTCATTGTGAACAAGTTATATTGCTTCCTGATTCCTTATCCAATATTTCTGTTGATTTTCATTTCACAAACTGTTAGTGTTTGGGAGACTTAATGTCTAGAAATTGTGAAAGTCACTTTCTCGGAGAGTCTGCCTGATGGAGACTCCCTTAGAGACAACAAAGCATACAGCACCCCAACCGCAATCTTCAGGACAGAGTGGCAAATGATTTCTGCTCAAATGATTTTGGTGGGTGTAGTAGCATCAGTCTTCTGGTTGTTTTTGCTTGAGTTGAAGGGGTTAATCAAGATGTTACATAAGGAGTATAGATGCATTCTATATGGGAACAAGGTAAGAATCTAGACATGATGACCTCTGACTGCTTTCTTTTTGGTGGTGGTGGAGTGGGGCTATTCCTGGCTTAGTGCTTAGGGGTTGCAAAACTGTGAGATGCCAGAGATAGAAACCAGCCTCCAGCATGTGGAGCTTGTGCTTGGCTTCCTGAGCTCTTTCTGGCCCCAGCTTGGATTTCTTAAACTCTCTGGAGAATAGTGTTTACAGGTTTGTACTCCAATATAGAAAACAATTTTTTGCCATGAGCTTTTACTAGAAGAACTAAAACAAATCTGTGTAATGCGGGCAATCAGACATCCAAGCCATTAAATAATGGCTGCGGGGCTAAGAGCTGGCTCAGCAAGTAGGGTGCTTGCCTCCCAGACGGCTGACTGGGTTCCATCCCCAGCACCACATACGGTCCCTGAGCCTCACCAGGAACGTCTTCTGAGTGCAGCGCTAGGAGTAAGCCCTAAGCACTGCTGGGTGTGCCCCCAAACAAAAAGAAAACAAAAATAACTGTTAAGTCAGTACCTGCAAATGAAATTTGGGATTGGGAAAAAAGTTCTGTAGGGTTTCTAGCCATTTTGGCTGATAATAAATATCAGGCTTCTGCTAATCAAAATAAGTTGGCTTTTTTGGTGGGAGGATCGAATGAGGTAGTGCAGGGTAACTTGTGGGGTGAGTGAGGTTAGACTCAATTTTAGGTTCAGCCTATTGTATCTGGCCCATAATGCTCTTAGAATGTGATGAGAGGGAGAGTAAGGGTGGTGTAGCACATCAGTCATTTCCGACTCCATCAGCAGAAGTTCCTAGGGCCTTTCTGTGCAGTCACAGACATTCCCACATGGCCACAGGTAGGCCTGGTCACTGGAGGGAGTTGCTTCTACCCCACTGTGAGTGGCTTCTCCTCACTGCTGCAAGTCAGACCAGAGGGTAGAAAAACACTGAAAGCTGAGTTGCTGAGTTGCGTAAGGGAAAAGGAGTACAAAAAAAAAAATAAATAAAAAAGCAGAGATAGTTTGATCATCTCAGTCCTGTTGCCCGCATGTTGTGTTCCTGCATGTCAGCATGCAGTTTGTACACACGTCTTGACAGTAGACGAGGCATATGGCCAAGCATGGCCCTGGGCAAGAGAGCAAGGCTGCCTCCAGGGGAAAGCTGCCCACTGTCTGTTCAGGACTCTGGTTTGCTTTGCTCACTCTCTCTCGCTCTTTCGGTCATTCAACTGAGATTCTCTGGAGAAATCTCAGCTGCAAGATTAGACTCCGATTGCTGTATCATATGATCATACAGGTCGGAGTATTTTTCAAACTAGAGATTTGATCTCTTACCACTGAATGTCAAATTTGCTTAAGTTAAAGAAAGTTATTATTGTTATTATTATTATTATTATTATTTTAGTTGTGCCACACTGGCGATACTCCATTCCTTATTTCCCATCACTTTGCAATACTGGATATCTAAAATTCATATGGGGCTTTACTTGCTGTTTTATTTGTTTTGGCTTCCCAATTTGAACATCTGTTCTTTCACCCGTTTCTAGATGTTCCCTAGCTGTGCTGGCCTCTGCCGTGGGTAGTGTTGTCATCTGGTGGATTGTCTGTGACTACATTCTCCCCATCCTGCTATTCTGTTTCGATGGTTTCAGAACACAGTAGCCCTCAGGACCCTGGCCAGATAGCTGCTGTGTAAGTGCTCCACTCCATTTCTCTACCCATGTTCCCCTCCGGTGTCCTGCATATTTCTCATAACGTATGTTTTTCTCACTCTCAATCTTTTTAGCTTGGCTGGTTTGCCTCCTTTCCGAAGTTGTTTTTATCGAAAGTTCTTGTTATCGAATCTTTTGAACTAATGTGGGTTGGTGATGGGAAGGGCCATTTTATTTGCTCCTTTCATGCGTTTTGTGTTAAGTTGTAGTTGATCTTATATGATTTTAACATAGCAATTTGTGAAGACATTGAAATTGTTTCCTTTCTTTATCCAGAAGAATTTAGTTTGGGCTAATTGGGTTGTTTTTCTTTCAATAATTGACTAACACATTGTCCCTAATTTCCTAGAGGAATATTGAGTGTATTCTTTCCAGCTTGCTATAAATCTTCTATTTTCCTACTGATTTTGTAGCCATGAGGTCTTAGTAAGCATTGCGTCCTGTTCTCTTGATTTTTTTATTGCTTCCTTCCTAAGTCTTCTGTCTTGGTTACACAGACTTTTCTCATCCCTTACTTTCCTTCCTTCCTTGTAGGGAATGCCATTATTAGTGCAACCTTTCAGGACTATCAGAAAGAGCCAGAGAGAACTTTCTGGTATTCATTTTCTTCCACAATAGCCCCTCGTGGCCTTATTCTCTGACATTCCCCCATTTTCCAGAAGGAACAAGCCTGCCTGGATTAGGTCATTACAGACAGACTTTGTATTCTCTTTATACTTTTTATTTAAACACATGAAGAGCAAAGAGATTTTTTGGCAGAAGAATGTGGTCAGGTGCTCACCAGGGAAACCTCTTGCTGAGCCCGGTGTATATGGTCACTGTCTGGGCTGCTCCTTTTGTCCTGGCTTCAATATATCCTCTGAAATCCTTTGGCTCCTATGTCAGTGCTTCTCTTTCAACTTGCATCTTAGACTTGGAAGTTACTAGGGGATAAAAAAAGTGTCTTCTAGGATCTCTGCCAAAGTAAAATTTTTGCTGCAAACATCTCTGGTACTTTGTGGTCTTGGTGTCTTTAGATGGCCTGGAAAGACTTGGAAATTTAGCGATGCCATTCTTTTTCTAAATCAAGGGAAGCATGTTGACATGTTCCCATTTATTCCTTCTTTTCTTGAATATCTTGTTAATTCAAACCTCGCATAAGCAGATGTTATGTTTCCGATCGAGATTATCCTTTACTTGTCCTTTACTTTTCTTAGTAAGCTTAGATTTCTATACATTGAGTTCTGAACGTCACAGATTTATTCTCATCTTTCCAAATGACAAAAAGATTTTAAACTGGTTGGGTTCTAAATGTCAATACTACTTAATTCTTGATAATACTGTTTTTCCAGAGTAAGTTTAAAAATCAGGCTGTTTTTGATATTCCTTAAAAGTATAATATTTTGGGGGCTAGAGCGATAGTATAGCAGATAGGGTGTTTGCCTTGCATGCAGCTGACCCAGATTCAATCCCCGGCATCCCATATGGCCCCCCCCAAGCACTGCCAGGAGGAATTCCTGAGTGCAGAGCCAGGAGTAACCCCTGAGCATCGCTGGGTGTGACCCAAGAAGTTAAAAAAAAAGTATAATATTTTTATGTTAACATTGACATTTCACACTGCGTTTCTGGAGCCAGAGTTACTTATTTTAACCTGACTGATGAATTTAGAATTTATAAAACAAAAGCTTTCAACGACAGTACAGAAATATAGGAGAGATTCTTTTTCCTGTTACTCTTTTTTGTTGCGGGGGAGCATCATGAACCACTGGTCCTCAGGATTAACTCTGGGTCCTGTCTGACATGCTGGGCATTGATCTGGTTCAGCCACATGCAGGACAAGTGCCAAGACCCGTGTATTGTCTATACAGTAATAGTTCCTACAGTGACCTTGTGAGGCCTTATCTGGGTCAGCATTATTGCCTTCACCTATGCTGGCCAGTAGCTCTGCATTACTTGACATGCATAGAGAGCACAAGTGCTATGTCCCCTCAGTGCTGCGTCAGTGGAGACAATACCTCCGTAAGGACACAGGTTTCCCAGCTCCTGCTCCCTCCCCCCACACTCCATCTCTCATCTCTCTCTTGTTTCTCCCAAGTGTCAATACTGCTTATATACCACAGGTCAAAGCATTTTGTAAGAGACCTGACATCTTAGTGTGCGTGGCTGTATTCCTCAGGTAATCCATACTATAATTTTTAAAAGTCCAAGGTTACCAGTATTCAAAAAAATCCTGTGGAAAAGATTGTGAGTTGTACTTGGGCAAGGAATTAAAAGAAGAACTGAGGATTCTGTCAGGGAAGGTGGACAGGAAAGAGAAGGTAAGATAATAGTGCTCTGTAGAGCTGCATGCTGGCTGGATTTGGAAAGCAGAAGTAGTCTTTCACATTTCCCACTGGTAGAGTGAATATTTCACGAGTGCTTATCAGCTGCTCCCAAAATTTCTTTCAGTATAGGATGTCAGAGGCAATACAATTGTGGGTTCTCCTTTACAGATGCATATCCAGTAGCTGTAATAACTCCTGTTACTGCAAATGTTAGATGGGTTGAAACTTACTGCTTGAATCATGCATTAGAAATTTTATATAAACTTTCAGATTTCCATGCAAATTTATATTCTATTATTTTATTGAGAAGTTAAAGATTTTTTTAGCCTAAATGTTGAATTGCAATAGTATCTCTCAGTTTGGTAATTAACTGTTTTAAAATCAGGTGCATTGAAAAACCAGGACCTAAATTTTAAGTAGGAAAATATATTGGCATTTGTTTTTTTCTCTCATCGATGGTTTTATAATATGGTAGTTGTTTGCATGATGGCTATAAATGTCCTCAGGTTATTTGAAAAATAGATGTTACACTCCCACTCATACCTCTCCCTTCCCCAAGCCAAGAGCAGGTGCCTCAGTTTCTTCATTGTGACTGGAGATAAGAACCAGGAACCTCCTGGCCTCAGCTACTCCTCCCTAAGTCTCTCTGAACCGATGGTTGGGAAACTGCTGTAGAAGCATCTAGGGCTTATTTTTGTTCTTATTTATGAAAAGTTCTAGATACAGCTTTCAAGAGAGATTACTGGCTATTGTGCCTCCTTGATATTGTCCGCCAGAACATTAAACTAAACTGTTTTCCGGGCAGAGGGTGCTTCATCATAGTGTGTCTTCACCGACATCTCTGTCTGTATTTCACCTCTGTGATGGTGGGGTTTTGTGAGACACGCTGACATGAGCAGGGCTTGTTTGTGGAGGGCCATATGCCTTCTGAGCCTGGAGATGGTTTCCCAAGTCTTCCAGAAACAGGAGATGGATTTTTGTTCAGAAAATGAACAAAAGCAAGGGCTCGGTATGTGCATTTGTCCTGCCAGTCTCTCTCCTTCTTGAAAACCATTGACCTTCTGGAGCTCTTGGTGTTCATCTGACTCAGGCCAGTTTTGTAGGATTTTATGGTGCAACTTTGGTTATGTTGTAATTTGATAAGGATTTCTTAATATATGCTGATAGCCTGGCTTTTAAAAATTAACCTTTAAAATTTAACTTGAGTGATGGCAACAGAGGCAGAGGAAATAGAACTGTGAGAGTTCTAAGGCCATTTTTCTCCTAAGAGCTGGATCCTCCTTAAGTCTCACATTTATTTCGGGTATGGTACAATAGGTATGTTGTGTACAGCTTAGCAGTTCAGACATTATTTCTTGAACAGTTGAAGATCTTTGGATGTTTTCTGTTGTTCTTGGGATGATTCAATGAATAAGTAACAATACCCACTGTTTATAAACAAGACATTCCACATGGACTTTATCTGAAAGCATTCTGTTTCATGAATTTACCATATGGCACCCTATTACCATAAGCATCAGATCCTGGAGATTTAAATTGAATGAAAGCAAGTCTCAGAATTTTAACAGGTTCACTTATATGTTAGTGGTATTAGAAGAGTTTAGTGAGTAGTTACAATCATAGCAAAGTTCAAGTTTGCTTGAACATATTTTAAAATTTTCAAGTGTTAGAGCCGTGGTGATAGTACAGTGGGGGGGGCACTTGTCTTGCACACAGGTGATCTGGGTTTGATTCCCGGTGTCCCAAATGGACCCCTGTATTCACAGAAGTGACCCCTGAGTGCAGAGGCAGAAGTAAGCTCGGAGCACTGCTGGATATGGCCCAACAATAACAAAATAACAAAAATATTGAAGTGTTATGTGAAATCAGTATTGATTTGGTATGTATTATATACATTTTTCGCTCTGAGAAGTCATTATCTTTTAGCTATTTATATTGTTTAGAATTGGAGGACTGTGATTTCTTGTGTTTATGACTAGAATTCTGAGAATCTTGACCAATCGATTTCTTTGTTGTGGGAGCTGCTTAAAATGCCAGTACTTTGCTTTACAAAAACATGGAAATGATATCTTGTGTGGCTGTCTCAGGGAACAAGATGCTTCCTTCCAAAGATCATGTTGTGACATGTATTTCTGAGCTTTTTGACAAATGTGAAAAAAAAAATCTTAGCCAGGTCTCAGTAAAATAATTTGCACTAATGTGCAACAACACTTTCCTCTGTCATTATTTCATCATTTGTTTCAGTGAATATAATCTTTTTTTTTCCAACTGTTTTCAGAGTAATCCTTCAGTCCAGTGTTCAGAGCTATAAGCCATCTGAACCTAACATTTCTGGCAGTACAGGCATTACTCAAAGAACCACCAGATCTGCTTCAAGAAAAAGCAGTTTTAAAAGGTGAGAATCAGTTCTTCCTCATCTAAGAAGTTTAATACTGGTTTCCAGTTCAGTCTTCTGGACATTGAAATGAAGATAAGGACTTCTCTGGGAAATGAATCAAATGTGTTGGAGTTGTTCATAATCTAAGAAAATCTGGTCATTTTACTGCAGGATTTTATCGTGTTTTGATTTTTAGAGATGTTTTCAACACTGCGAACAAGAGGATGTTCTACTATTAAGTTCCTGACTTCAGAATTTCCAAGACTCTTGACAGAACACAGAGGGAATCTTTGGATCTGTGTCGAGCTCGAGCATATTTGTTGGAGAGAGGGGACAGAGTACCAGGCATCCTGTTCTGCCTGTACCTTTGCCAGATATAACTTTGATATTTGCAGGTGAATTAAACTGAACAGTTCAGATGGATGCAGTCTGCTGATGACAGTCTGTGTGGACAGGCTTTAAGTGGAGAGGGTCTTTTCTCTTTGCAGGAGACTTGCTCGGACTTCTCTTCTGGTGGAAAAGGAACTGTCCCCTTGACCGTAGACCACTCCCATGGGTTGTTTCTAGACTTTGAACCCAGCATCTTGCACTTCCTTCATGAGCCAGAATGTAGACACACTCTTTGACCAAGTGCAGCATTTAGCCGTGTCTTTGGGTATACACTGAGTTGAAGGCAGACTTGCTATTTTTATCCTCTTCCAAATGAGATCTTTGGGGTTGGGGGCAAATAAGCCATCCCCCATTCTTGCACTGTTCCATTTGGGGGGATCTTTGCCTGTGACCTGTGTTGCCCTCTCTCTGTTTGATGTTCTGTGCACTCGGCACCACATTTCAGAATAGACCGCAGGTGGGACAAGACTTTGCAGAATGTTCTTTGCAATTTCACCAGTGGTTTTTTTTTCTTTTCTTTTCTTTTAGCTCACAACCCATAGGTTCACTTGGGGGACCCTGTACTGCTGGGGCCAGTCCAGGACTCTGCTGTACGTGGCCTGTGTGCTTGCCTTTGAGCCTTTCCTTAGTCCTTTGAACTTCAGTACGCATCTGTCTTTGGGACTTTAGGCTCTCAGCAATCTGTTTATCTCAGAACAGCCCATGGCAGTCCTTTGGGCCTTTGTGTTTTATGTTTGTTCTGGGCCTCACCTGGCAGTGCTCAGGCTATGCCTGGTTCAGTGCTCAGGAATTGTTCCTAGTGGTACTTGGGGGACCAGGTGGTGTTTGGGTCACACCCAGACCTCCAGGATACAACTGCTTTGTACTTTGCTTTCTAAAGAGTCATCAATTTTTCTGCTTTTCTGCTTTGCTTGATTCAATTTTCCCATTTTTACTTACATATAAATAGATTGGGCTGGAGCTATAGCACAGCAGGTAGGGTATTTGCCTTTCACGCGGCCGGCCCAGCCAACCCAGGTTCAATTCCTCCACCCCTCTCAAAGAGCACTGCAAGCTACCAAGAGTATCTTGCCCACACGGCAAAAGCCTGGCAAGCTACCCATGACATATTCGATATGCCAAACACAGTAACAAGTTTTCACAATGAAGACATTACTGGGCCTGCTCGAGCAAATCGATGAACAATGGGAGGACAGTGACAGTGACAGTGACAGAAATAGATCAGTGCTTCTTTGTAAAAAGGAAAATGCAATGGTCTATGCAATAATTGAAAACAGCTAAACATTGTGAAGTCATACTCTAATTTTATCAATGTACAATACACTATTCTAATTATAGGTCACTGTCACTGTCATCGCGTTGTTCTTCGATTTACTCGAGCGGGTGCCAGTAATGTCTCTGTTTGTCCCAGACCTGAGATCTTAGCAGCCTCTCCTTGCTCATCTTTCCAACGTTCAGAGGCTCTTTCAGTGTCAGGTTATGTTATTTATAACAGGTCTCATTCCTAATTATAGGTACATTTCTAAATAGTTATAGGTACGTTTCTATTTATATGGAGTTTTTTAAAAACTGCCGTGATATTAGTGATTCTTCTGATTCGTAGACCCTTGAGGGCTTCATTATTATTTTTCTTACTTTCAGATTATTTATAATATATGAGAATATTTTAACTTTGGTCATTTTAGGTGAATAAATCTATTCAAAATCCAAGTAGAGAACTGCCATAAATAATGCCAAGATTAGACATGTTGGATGAACATACTAATTTTCAGCATAAAAGAAGTTTTTCTTTTATAGTTGAGTGTGTTTGGCACATTTAATTCAGTTTTCTCTACTGGACTTCATGTCCCTAGAATTGGGGACAGAGACCCCTCCGGACCAGGTTCCCTTAAGGAGCTGGGCATTGAGCAGCTTTTCCATCTTGGTTTTGCCTGGCTGATGGCGCTGAGCATCTGCCCTGCCCCAGCTTGCATTCCTAGAAGGACTGAGCAGGGATCAGGATGCATAAGCTGGGCTGAATATTGAAATGGTCCAAAGCAGTTTCCAGTATCTTGGCCTGTGTTATAAGCAGCAGGTCTCCTAAGTGATGGGAGGAGATGAGCCATGAGAATGAGTGTACCCACTGACCTTTGCAGCTCTGAGGTCCTCCCACTTGGAGACGCCTTCACAGGGCACCACCACAGCTCCTGGGGACAGGGCCCGGGAGGTAGGCTCCGTCCCCAGCTGCAGACTGGTTGGGATGGCACAGCCGGCAGCTTTCTTCTTCCTGGTTTGGATTCATTTTTGGTGGGTGCACAGTGAGCGGATGAACATGTTTGTACAAAATATCATGAGTTAAGATTGTTGAGTCATTTAAAAGACACTATCTAGAAGTCTTGTGTGTGAATGAGCAAAGCAAAACAGAAGAGTCTGCGTCTTGCCAGAAGCTGTTCAAGGACTGGCTGCTGGTTCGCCACCACTGCTGCCTGGTAGGCCTTTTCCTTTGCAGGTTGATGTTCTTCCCTTACCATCGACATGATCTTCATCATTGTCACAGTCCTCTTTATCCTTCTCCTCGTCCTCCTTCTTCTCCTCCTCCATACTGATACTGCATAGGAACTGGACCTTTCATCTCTGTATTTTTTTCTTGTGAGAAGATCTCACAAGTACTTCTGGCTACAGTTTTTTGTTTGTTTGCTTTTTGTTTATAAATATATATATATATATATATAATATATATATATTTAACTGAGATGCTCTGTGACTCTGGAGAACTTGCCCACGAATACACTCAGAGCACAGTTATTTTGAGACTGAATATTCAAGTCTTGTATATGGCCTTGTTTTGAGAAGACACCACTGTGTCTGTGGTGGCAGGCTATAGTTTTCTTGTGTATCCTTGAGCACATGCCAAATCGAAATCATTGTGACAAGCCTATGTAGGGACAGGTGTGTGGTGGCATGTGTGGCACTGAAGTTGTGATTATACTTCATCCCTTTCTTGGGCTCAGAGAAGCCAGAGACTCAGTGTTCTCTTTGAAGTTCGGCTAAGCCCTGTGAAGAGTGACTAACTGCCCGCCTCATTTCATACCCTTTGATTCAGTTTGGCACACCTTAGTACATGCTGGCTTCTGGATGCTTAGGCTGTTTCTTTAGGATTATCTTTGCTTTCTTTCAGAAAATAACAAATCCATTTTCAGAGAAAACTGTTGTGTACAGGTGCTTTTCTGTTGTTTTGGGGCCACGCCTGGCGGTGCTCATGAGACCCTGTATGATGCCAGGGGTCAAACTCAGTTCGGCCATGTGCCCGGCAAGCACCCTCCCCATGGTCCTGTTGCTCCAGCCCCAACAGTGCCTATTTTCATTCCAAGGTGCATTGCAGGCTCTTTTCTGCTCTACCTTCAAATTAACCTGCCGTCCAGTGCTTTGGGCTATCTCTTATAGGCATTACTATCATAAGGGAAGAGAAGTACTGAAATCATGAGTTTTATCAAAAGGCCTTCAGTTGGGGACTTAAGACACATTTAGGACTTCTAGGGGCTTGTTTTCTTATTCTAAGCTTGCAGTGATCGTTCCTGTCACAGTTTCTTGACACTTAGAGCAGCATTTCTCAAACGGGGGCCTCCTGTCAGACCCCACAATATTCCAAGGTCACATATCTGGGCCACAGCACAAGTCTTGGGACAGGAGGAACCAGATTTGTAAGATGGCCACAGTGAGGAAAAGGTCTCAAAACATTGGCCCCTGCTGTCAGTCCACACCGTCTGGGCTCTGACCTTTTGAGAGTGGCATGTTATCTCTAGAATTGCATCGATGTCCAAGCCTTGAAAGGTTCTGTCTAAATATTCTTTTTTCCCCCTCTTTTTAATATGGATTGCCTTTTTTACCTTTTAGATTATTAACCTTCTTTGACATTCCAGCTGTTTTCCTGCTTGTCTCCTCACTAACTGAACTTGCCCTTTCTCTAGTGCCTTGTTGGGCTGTTACAGTTAAAGGGGAGTGCGCCAAGAACATCTTCAGACAAGGAGGGTCCTTTCAGATTGGGATTTTTTTGAATTCCTTTTTCTCTGAAAGTTGCTCTTAGTTGAAAGTATATGAAGAAATGAATTTGGGAAGGAGAAAATAAGAGTGAGAGAAAGTGCATGTGAGAGAATATGAGGGGGAGAGAGAGAGAGAGAGAGAGAGAGAGCACTGACTTCTGAGGAACAGCAACAGGTTCTGGCTAGGGTGTGGCCGGGGCTGGCTTCGTGCCCCAGGGTTATGTTGGTACATGTCAGTGTGTGTCAGTGTGTGTTGGTGCATGGAGGTGTGTGTTTGGTGTATGTTGGTGCATGGAGGTATGTTGGTGCTTGCTGGCATGTTAGTGGTGTTGGTGTATGGGTGTTAGTACGTGTTAGTATGTGTTGGTGTGAGTCTGTGTGCTGTTGCATGTAGGTGCATGTTGGTTGGGCCATCTTTTCCCAACCTGGAATCTGCTTGAGGTGCCAGAATTTTTTCTGTGACTTGAAATCCTGCCTTTGGAAATAATCTGGTAACATTTCTCTATCTTTTCATCTTTCTACTTTTCCCACAGCCTGATTGCTCAGAGGGAAAGAAGGAAAAGGAATACTTTGCGACAAATGCCCTTACTGGCTCTATGGTACTCTCACTGCCCTGCTATTTTGTCCTCCCTTTAAGACTGTTATTTTTTTACTGTTTAAAGAATTTCTTTGCAGAACTGAACCATTTTTCTGCTCTGCCTTTCTTTCCTGTTTGTCTTTGCTTTATGATTGGTATTGTACTGTTTTTCCCAAGTTATTTGTCATGAAAACGTACAAGAGTATATACTTTTTAGCATGTTGATATTTTTAGTATGTTGCCTTCCTTATCTTTGATAAACTGTACAGATCATTTGAAAACCTTTGTGGTAAAAGTCTTTTTTTTCCCTTCTGTAGTCCCACCATTTCAAGGACTAAAACAGTCTTGCGTTAAGTACAAACCTGTGACCAGAAGTGAAGATTCTGAAAACTACTGTGGGACGTTATTAGCACAAAACCGAATTGCAAAAGCCTTAGATGCTTTCCACCTAAGAAGTTTATTCAACGGAGAAAATGCCCATTGGAGTTTCAATAACGGAATGAGTTTGGGTACAGACGAATGACTTGAAGGCGGCCCAACTCCCCTTTTATGGAAACTCTCAACAAACAAGCTGGTGTCCAGTTGGCCTCAGGTGCTCACTGGAAGCGCTGCTCAGATTGTGGGCTGAGTGCCAGTGGGAGTGGGGAGCGAGTTCTGCTGATGCCAGTCTTCTAGCTGCTGGCCTTCCGAGGGACCCCCTTAGGGAGGTGTTTTACTTATTTATTTTCTGTTCACCCTGTGTCAGAGTTTTAAAGGAGGAAACTGGCATTAGAAAAATGAGACGTTTATAACTTGATAGTGTTTGCTTTCATGGTCTTCCCATTAACGTCTGTGATGCTGTGCAGTGGCCCCCACATTGCTTGTCTCCCCAGACAGTGCTCCAGTAACAAGAGGCTGTGAAAACCCCGTGGAAATCCTACGTGTATGGTACCAAGTTGTACTTTGGAACCGAAAACTTGGAAAAGACTAGTCATGGGGACTTCAGAAGACAGAAAAGGGAGGCGGGGGTGGGGGTCGGGGGCTGACCTCAGTGCTGTAGAGTAACAAGTCAGAGGGAACACTGAGACTGCCTGGTCAAACAGATTAACGCCACAGTGTCCTCTTGGCATAGTTTGAAGAAAAATAAAAAATGGCGTTTACCTTTGGACCCAGCACTCTCCGATAACAGTTGCTTTTAGAAAGAAAAAACACAGTTCCAGCTTTATTTGGGGTCTTTCCCTATGAATTTGTGGATTTGTTGTCATGTGATGTGATCAGCCTAAGGCTATTCACGCGCCCTTTGATTTAAGTAACAGTTATAGTAGCATCTGAATTTCAGTTGTTTGTAAGTAAGAAACTCACAGGTTGCCTTTGGTTAGGGAGTACAGTTAGCAACTCCTTTTGTAGAGTGCCTTTTCCCCTCAGCCCCACAGAGCCAGAGTCTGCTATAACGCAATCTCTCTCTGTCTCTGTCTCTGTCTCTGTCTCTCCTCCCTTCCTCCCCCCTCTCCTTTTCCCCCTCTCTACCCCTCCCTCCTTCCTTTCGTTCCCCCTCCTCCCCCCTCCTCGTTCCTCTTTTCTCTACCCCCTCCCTCTCCTCCCTCCTTCTCTCTCTCTCTCTCTCTCTCTCTCTCTCTCTCTCTCTCTCTCTCTCTCTCTCGTTATTTGCTGCTAAGAAAAACTTGGTCCCCAAGGTAAAGAACATTTTGCAGTCCCCTTGGTCACATCCTTAATTAGAGAATGCTTTTGGTCATTAACCAGTTTTCACCTGTCCTAGCTTGGAAAGTTGGGGATAAGAGCAATTGAGCAGAGGCAAGACCTACACATTACCAGTTGGCCCCAGATAAGGCTGTGGGTAGTTGACAGAACAAAGCTGCCTTTTTTTTTTTAAACCTGTGAAGACTGCATAGTGGTTGGAATAAATTCTGTGGGTGTACTTGGGAAGCTGTGGCTCCATTTTGGTGTCACCCGTTTGAAGGGAGTGTGGGAAGGCCACTGTAGTGGGGGGAGGACTTTGCCTCCTCCGAACCAGTGCTTGTATTCAGAGTGAAAGACTCACTTGCCTTGGAGATGGCCCTTCCCTGGGGTGGAAGCAGAGATGGTGTTCCAGTCAACCGCATACGCTGGGAAGCAATATTCAGTAGATAAACCAAGCCCAGGCATACACTATGGAATTCCCAGGGCACACCACCCGCCCCCCTCCCTTTGCATGTATCTGTCAAGGTAGAGTCTTGAATCAGAGAGCTGGGAAAACCAAGCCCATCAGAGTGTAGCTGTCTGCCTTTCTCTTTCCTAAGAGAGATCGAGAACACTGCTGACTCCTGCAGCGCATTGACTGTTGGCCACTGGACATAAGTGAAACATTTGGACTTGAGTGTTAATCCCAACTTTTTCTCATACATATTGCCTTTTTGTTTTGACTGCTCATTTCCAGATAGAATTGCTGTCAGATACTTGTATTTCCTGGTCTTGTTGAAAGGATTTCTAGGAAATGGGATTTGATAACCTTGTAACCCAGAAGAATTGGCATACTGCCTCCAGAGCTGCTTGGGTCTGGGGAATCTGGGGCCTGACTCCAGGGATGCCTCCTGCTGTGAATCAGATGGACACTCCCCTTCTCCCCTCCACACCTCAAGTGCAACTTCAACATACCCAGAATCTTGCGCGATTTGAAATTCTGAGTCCTGGTTCCAGATCTTGTTGCTGTTGAATGGGAAACAGGACATGTCGGATGGAGAGAGCCGATCCACTTATGAGCCTTAAATAGCTTTGAAAGTACACCCAGAGAGTTTCCATTGGAATCAGATTTAAAAATGAGTATTTTTAGGTGCCCTTGGAGCTTTTCGGGAACTCGAATCAGCATGCCCGGAACCTCCCACAGGAAGGGTGTCTGCAAAGTGAGAGAAGGAAAAAGGTATCTGGTGCCCAGCTAGGGTCCAAGCAAGGCTCAGGTCCAGCAGCTGCACTTGGTCACTGCTGCGTCTCGTGCCACACACTGCCCATCTGCTCCTGGGTCTCTCTACTCTCCACTCGTCTTCCTCTGCTGTTTTCTTCTCTCCGCAGGTTTCTTCTACCTCTTGTCTTGGGCCCAGACACAATTGGTTCTCTAGTGTTTCATGGATGTCTGTGTTGGTGTTGGGAGCCGTGGGACCGGCCCTGCTGGGGGTCATACCCGGGGCCTCCCAGCCTCTGCTGGGATCAATGCCCAGGGTCTGTGGGGGCACATGTGCTGCTTTTGTTGTCTGTTCTGAGTAGCTTGGCAGTGTCTCTCCAAACACTTTTCAAAGTAATTGTTGCATTTTGGGAAGCAGTGCTCAAAAACGGGTTTTAGAAATATTCAAACACAGACCACAGGGGCCAGAGTGATATGATGGGTAGGGCACTTGCCTTGCTCATGGCTGATCTAAGTTCAATCCCCAGCATCTCATATGGTCCCCCGTGCACCCCCAGGGTTCTGAGTACAAAGCCAGGAGTAACTCTTGAGCATTGCTGGGTGTCACTCCCCCCTCACCCCTGCAAAAAAAAAATATTTTTTTCCCCCAAAAAACAGGCCAGAAAGAAAGTGTTGCTGCTAAGGAATTTGCCTTGCATGTGGTCAACCTAGTTCAATCCCTGGCACCCCACATCGTTCCCCAAACACCACCAGGAGTGATTCCCTGAGCACAGAGCTGGAAATAAGCTCTGAGCACCACAGGGTGTGGCCCCCAAACAAACAAAAGTAGTCTTTGATTATTTTCTCCTTAGCCTACCTTGGTGGGGCTGCCCATCTCCCACATCTGTCTTCTCCACGTTGGCAAAGTGGAAATTCTAAGATGTGTTTTAAAAACTGGACAACACATCTCCATGGTATAGGAAATTACCTCCTTAATTGCCCAGTAGAATTAACCAACTGAGCAGATTTGTTTATCTGGTTACAGCATTGCAATTTTATATTAATAATTTGCAGACTTTGACCTACACTCATGTACAGATTACATTTTAAAATGTAACTGATGAATCAGTATTTGATCTATCATTGTCCTGATTTTTTAATCAAAATGTATATTTCTAATCATTTTATAAAGCTGAGAAATGGTTGAATGATTGTTTATTTTCTTGAAGGTATTTTTAAGATAAAGCTTCAATATAGGCCTGGAAACTTTGCTATCTAGGTAGTTTGATATGTTGTTGCATTGAAAATCTTGTGTATTGTAACTGGTTTTATACAAATATGACTAGTGAAAATTGTATAATTATAATCATGCAATTAAAAGTATTACAGCCCTTTTGGTTTGTTGAATTTACTTGCTGGCTCTTGGAGTCGTGACACTTGGAGGCTAAATGCGAAGGAAGAGCATCCCCTGTAGTTTTCTGGCGCAGCTGTAGTAAACAGGACAGAGTGAGGAGTGGTGAAGAGCTATACAGGCTGAAGCACCGTCTTTGCATGCAGAAGGCTGGAGTTCAACTCGAGGGCCCTTTAGCACCCCCTGCCCCAGCACTGCCAGGGACAGTCCCAAAGCTGCTAGTTGAGAGTTGCCCCTGAGTACCATTGGGAGTGAGCCTCCAATATCAAATAACAATTTTTTCAGTTCTGGGGGCTGGAAATCCAAGATCAGATCATCTGCTGGATTGGTATTGACTTCCTGTGTCCACACCTGGCCTTTACTTTCTGTGTTCCCACTCCTGGTATTCCCTCCCATCTTCTTGCCCTTATTCTCGGGCCCTAGTCAGATTGGATTCAGGCCCACCACAGGGACTATTGGATTTAATTACCTCTGTCAAGCCCTTGATTACAACTAGTCACATTTTGAAGTACCAGGGGCTTCGTGTTAAGAATTCGGCGGAGGACTGTGGGGTTCAGTCCACAGTAGCATTCCCAGGCCCAGCTTTGATGCTACATTACACACATCTTCAGCTCCAGCAATGCGATGAGCTCACTGTCGGGACACAACACTTCTAAGGAGTGGTGGCCAGGCCCCTACTCTGCCCCTTCTGACCCCATGGCTAGCAAAGGATAGCAGTTTGGGGCAGTTCATCCGCCCTCTCGGTGTTACTGTTTCTGGCACAACCTGGCAGTTTTAATGCCTAGTGTCATGCAGAGATTGAATCTAGGAAGCAGGAGTCTTCCTGGGGTGTATCCTGTACCCTTCAGTATCCCAGAGACGTACATTCTGATCCATGCTGTTTTCCAAGTCCAAACCCAAACCCACACCCACTCTTTACCCTAAACTTAAGCAAACACATTGCCAGCCCTGCCTGTTGCTGAACATGGATGCACTACCCTCCACAGTTGGGCAAACAAAGTGGGCCATGCCGCCCTCCTGGGGCACTGTTTGTAGGTAAAAGTAAGTAAATTTCCAGACGGTTGTTGAGGAAGGGGCAGGGAAAGTCTGGGAAGCTCTGATTTAGCCAAGGAACAGAGGCTGACCCTGGCTTATGTCCCCTCTTGCTGACAGGCTGTTACGGAGCAGCCTGAGTGCCATGTCTGTGAAGGAAAGCAGGTCTGAGTGCCATGTTCTGTGAAGGAAAATGGACCTGGGGCAAGACCCAGATCTTCCAGGGATACCCCTGGCCTTTAGACACTTGCTCTCTTTAAATGCTGTCATTGTCCTGGCCATGCCCCTCTGCCACCAGATCACGGGTAAGCCCCTCTGCTTCCATTTCTTCAGCTGGGAGTAAAAAGAAAGATATTCAGTGGCTCGTAGCACTTGCCAGACTGGCAACAAATGTGAATCTGTGATCCAGACCCCAGTGCTGCTGCTGGTACTGTGGGCCAAAACTCACCCAGGAGGAAGTGTCCAAAGACCCCACCCCATCAAAAATGGCAGGCCCAGCCACTGAGGAGCCCCAAGGGGGGAAGCTCAGTCCTGGAGCTGTGTATGTGCTGATGCCCTGATCATCCAAGCAAGGAAGAAATAAGGATTTCTTAAAGATTCAATGAGAAAATGAAATGTAGGCAAAATGCTTCTGACAGTGACACATAGCTTTCAGTAAATTAACTTTTCATACATTTTATATCTTTCATCCACTTCTGATCACTGGTA